GTGGAGACAAAGAGGAAAAAATAATAGGAGAAAGAAAAAGTTAATAGCAACTGATGAAGGTGTTGGGCATGCAGAAGACTTGTACCAAATTGCTACTTAAAATATATATGCTGTTATGAAATACTGTATCATTGAATTTCTGTTTAGAAATAGAACAAGTCTGGAAGTATTGTGCACTATTTTGAATGTGAGAAAAGTGCAAGTACTCTGCAATCACCCTTTTTTTCCACTGACAACATTCTAGAATCTTAGAATCACAGAATGTTAAATGCTTAGAAATGTAAAGATTACATAGTCCTAATCTTCCCTGCCATGGGCAGGGACACCTCCCCCTAGATGAAGTTGCTCAAGGCCTTATTCAGCCTAGCTTTGAACAGTATCAGGGTTGGGGTATCCACAACCTCTCTGGGCAACCTGTTTCTTCCTCATATGTAGCCCAAATTTTCCTTTTTTCATTTGTACTTGTTACTCCTTGTCTTATCATTGCAGTTCCTGATGAAGAGTCCCTCTCCAGATTTTCTTGTAGGTCCCTTTCAGGTACTGGAAGTTGGGGTCTCCATGCAACCTTCTTTTCTCCAGGCTGTACAGCCTCAGCTTTCTCAGCCTGTCTTCATAAAAGAGGTACTTCAGTCCTCTTACAAACTTCATGACTCTCCTCTGGACTTGCTCCAACATGTCCTCCTGATGTTGGAGACGCCAGAACTGAATGCAGCATTTCAGTTAGGATCTCACATGAGCAGAGGAGCAGAATCACCTCCTTTGACCTGCTGGCATTCCTTGTGATGCAGCCCAGGATTCAATTGTCTTTTTGAGCTATGAGCACACACAGCTGGCTCGTGTGGAGCTTTTCCTCACCTGTAACCCCCAGGTCTTTCTTAGCATGGCTGCTCTCAACCACTTCTCTGCCCAAGCCATTGGTGTGTCTGGGATTTGCAGTGACCCAGATGTAGTGTTAGCAATTGAGAGAGACAGGGACTCCATGAAATAGTCAAAGAATCCAAATTTTTTGTGAAGTACAACTGCTTATATACTTATTCTAGGAAGACTAGTAATGTTTTACTACCAGGATTAGGTTAATCATCACGTAAACAAACTTATGCATTTTACAACATCTCTTGCATTTTACATCTCTTGCTTGAAGAGTTTGATGTAATTTTCTTTTTCTGGTAAGTCTGTCTGATTTAATCTTCTTGCAATCTTGATTTTATTCTCAAAGTTCTGTTTGCTATTACCAAGGCATCCTGTTATCAAATCTCTTATGCTAACCAGGTCCAAAGTCCATAATCTGTCTTGTGTGTCCTGATAGTGTAGGACCTTGCACTTTGCTTTGCTGAACTTCATGAGGTTTGCTTCAGCCCACATCTGTCGAGGTCCCTCTGGATGCCATTATCCCTTCCCTTCATCGTGTCAACTGCACCACACAGACTGGTGTCATCAGTGAACTTGCTGAGGGTGCACTTAGTCCTGTTGTCCATGTCACCAACAAAGATGTTGAACAGTATCAGGCCCAGTATGGACCCTGAGGGACACCAGTCTCTGATCTCCATGTGGCAATGAGCCGTTGACCAAAACTCTGTGCACGTGGCCATCCAGCCAGTTCTGTATCCACCGAGTGGTCCATCCATCAAATCCCTGTCTCTCCAATCTGGAGACAAGCATGTCCTGCAGGAGTTTGAAATACTTTGCATTTAGTCCAGGTAGACAATGTCAGTTGCTCTACCCCTGTCTACCAACACTGTAGCCCTGTCATAGAAGGTCACCAAATTTGTTAGGCATGATCTTCTCCTTGTAAAACCATTTTAGCTGTTACCAGTCACCTCTTTGTTGGCTGGGTACCTTAGTATAGTTTCCAGTAGAATCTGCTGTGTGACCTTGCTTGGCACAGAGCTGAAGCTGACTGGACAGTAGTTCCCTGGGTCTTCCACTTTTCCCTTTTTAAAAATGAGGATTATATTTCCCTTTTTCCAGTTATCAAGGACTTCACCTGACACAATTTTTCAAAAACAATGGATGGTGGCTCAGCAACTTAATCTCCCAGCTCCCTCAGGACCCACATGTAAATCTCATTGGGTCCCATGGACTCGTGCACATTCAGGTTCCTTAGATGGTCTCAAACTTGATCCTCTCCTACAGGGGGCTCAGGATCTTCATCCTCACAGTCCCTGCATCTGCCTTTCTTGACTTGGGTGGCATTGGAGCGCTTGGCAGTGAAGACAGAGCGACAGAAGTCATTGAGAATCTCAGCCTGCTCTTCGTCCAAGGTAGCCTGGTCTCCTATTTTCTTCCCACACCTTTTCTATCCTTTGTCTCTCTTTTGCTTGCCACATTCCTGTAGAAGCCCTTCCTGTTATCCTTAGTATCCTGCAGGAGAGGTTTTGCCTTACTGAGCACTGTTAATTACCTGAATAGGATCATACATTTAATCCCCAAAGTATTGCCATATGGCTTTCACATTACAACAGATAAATTCCCTCCTCCTGATCCTTGTCTTCAACATTTATGTAAAGACAGCTTATGTAGTCCACTTTACCTATTTTCTATGTTTCATTTTTTCAGAATCAAACTTTTTCAAATCAAACTTTTTCAAAGCCATTTGACTGGAAAATAGGAATAGTGTGGACTGTAGGATTGAGCCATCAGCTCCTCTGGTGTGTCCTGGTTTGTGTCATTTTGTCTTAGGTTTTGTTGCAGAGTGTCTCCAACAAGGCCCATCACACTGGAGTGCTGCCAGATCTGCTGTTGCTGTGCTGTCAGTCTGATGGTGGATGTAGGTGCTGGAGTAATGAGAAGAACATGACTAGTTGAACACTGTACCTTAGTGTATGACCCTGTGCCAAGACTGTACTACTGAAGACAGATGTTTTGTCTTTGCAATTGCAAAATAACAAATGAAGAGAAGAAACTTAGTGGGAAAGTTATGGCAATGGCAACTTAGATGCAGCCCGGAACAAAAAAACCCATATCACTTCCATGATGAACTCAGTTAAACTTTCTTATGCTTCTCTTCTCAGAATGCCAGAGGTGTTCCTGGTAGTAGAGGGAATGGTGCAGAAAGGCTTTTTCCCAATGGCCACCCCTAGACAGAGGCAAAGTGTTCTCTTGCACCTTGATGAGCAAAACAGAAATTTAGAAAGGCATTTTTCAAGGCAAGGCAGGAATGAAAGTACATGCTGTTTATGAAGATTCTAGAAAGTCAGACTGACAACTGATACAGGATGCCTTACTCAGCATCCTCCAGTCTTGGAATTAGCCAATTCTGTGTGTAATATCTGAGAATAGAGCTTTTACAAGGATGTTGGCCACACAATCAGGTTGATGGGCTTGAGCTGTACTCCTCTGCTGGTACCCCCTAAATGTGACAGAAGGAACACAGCTGGGGAATGTGCACCAGCTGCCTGCCCTGCTAGTCGTGCACTGGTGTCTGACCTTGAAATGTAGCAACTCAGCATAACCAGTCTGTGGCAAACAAAAATACTTCTGGAGCACATAAGTCAAGGAAAATTGGTTTAAATTCCCAGTGAACTATTTTGCAAACAACACTCTGTAGCAAGACCACTTTGTAATAGGCAGTAATTTCAATATTTCCAGGTGCCATTTTGTGGCAAGACCAGGAATTATATGTTTTGTACACAAGAAAGCAGGAAAGCAAAAGGGCAGTGTAACTTTCCCAACTCACCAGACAACTATGGCAATGCAGTGTTCAGTTGTTCAATCAACCTTGATTTTAAAAAAGCTTCTAGAAAATATAATTTAGGCATATGATATTTTCAGAGTGGATGGGAGGAAAGCTTCCCTTTCTCTGAGTTGGAATTTGTTGTGTGTGTGTTAGATTATGGGGGGAAAAACTTTCCAGAGGTTGTGAAAACACCTCAGTTCATCTGCTGTAGAATAGCCCATGTGTGGAGAGTGTGTTTTTATATACTTATTATATACTTTTAATGCAATTCCAACTGCCATAACAAATGTAAGGACCTGTGATATTTCAGACAAAGTTGTGTAGCATCTAATGTGATCCCACAACTCCAGTGCTCTTCCAGTGACACTTCGTTTTTACAGAAATGTATGATGGAATTTCTTTTATCATGCTCAGAACCACAGGAGTGGTCTAAGTTGTGGTTCAATCCGTTCTGTTTTTTATGAGACTAAGAAAACTGGCTCTTAAAAGTGTAAGAGACTTACCTCTGGGAGGATCCTTCAGTGATTCTTGAAATGATGAGCTATTTGTTACAGAGAGTGAAGTCAGGATCATGATGCATAAGTTTCTGGTGCCTGAATATAATTGACTTGGTTTTTGTATGCAAGAGGATATGCATCAGGTTATCCAAATGATGTTATGAGTTAGCCCTCCATACCTCAGGTATGAGTAGCTGTTTAAACTAAGTAAACAGTAGCAGATACTGTCTAACCCTGTAGGCTAGAACCAAAAGTATATTTGGATAGGGAAGGGAAGATTTATTAAATTGGGATGGTTTTCAGGCTTTTCTCCATATTTCTCTAAGAACAAGTAACTCTATGTTGCACTTCAATACCTTCTAATACTTCTGAGAACAGTATTAGAGCCAAAAATGAATGTAAGAGAAGGAATTTGAAAAAACAAATAATTACAGCCTAGCCATCAGACCAAAATAGAAAGTCTCCAGCTGCCCTGGTGCCCCTGTGGTCACCGTATTTTATCCAAAGTTTTGATAACAAGAACTAATAGCCAATGGTGCTTAGGCACAGATGCTTAAGGTCTGGGAGCCTGGCACTTCATGGGAGTTCCAGAGCTCTGAGGCAGGTAACTGCAAAAGGAAAGTCAAAATTTTGGAGTGGGGCAGAAGGCTGGAAAGAAGTCTTTTGGCTTTGTTGTAGAAATACCTGTTCTGTAAGGATTTTTTGATTCATGCAACTAAACATTACTCAGTCGTTCACACGTAAATCTTTCAAAGTGCAAGGAATGTTAAAGCATGTCCTCGGTGATGTAACTTTAAAAGTATCTTTTCCTTGTTTTCTTTCTCTAGAGCCCAGTGAAGATAAATCAGATCAGCCTGGATGAAAGTGGAGAGCACATGGGTGTTTGCTCAGAAGATGGGAAGGTACAACAAATCTCTTTATATATTTGTTGAGGTAGCAGGTAGTCCTAGTATTATACTAGGATAATTGTGATAACCTGTGGAGTTGATTCCTGCATTGAGCACCACTACTTTGACCATACATTTTGAGAACTGAACTCACCTTTGAATACTCAAAATTAAAGTCAAATATATTTTGCACAAATATGCTGTAGGAAAAGTAATTACAAGAATGTCAATAATGTAACTGCTATTAAGCTGATTAACAGCTGTGACAGGAGGTCATGTCAACTTAATCATTACTGCTGTGCCAGTTATACTTCAGTGACTACTCTGCTGTTCCTGCAAGACAGTAGTTTAATGCCTTTCTGCTATAAATCCACAAAATTGGATTTTGTGGACATGATTTCTGTGGGCTGGTGGTTTTCGTTTTCACACAGTTTATGAATGTTTCTCTTGAATTACAGAATCTTTTGATAAACAATCATAGTTTATCAGAAGAACAAAGTGTCTTACAACAGCCACATTAAATAAATGTAAAATCAATATATGTACAGTTTCTTAAAAAACCTGCTTCCTTGACTGAGGACATTTATCATTTGTGTAGTGTAGAAGTAGCAATTATCAGTGCTTCTCTGGAATGTTGAGTTGTGACATTTAGTGGTTTTGGTGATTGATTTTCCGGTTATAAGAATGTCTTTTTGTTTTTTCAGTGGATGACAATATTTTCTAATGTTGGTTTTCAATGATAAAATTCTAATGCACAGTATGTATTTAAGCTTATTTTTAATATAATGCCCATATACAAATGCAGTGCATTAAAAGTAATCTAAATAATTTCTCAATATCCAACTTACTTCTCAGGAGAACATTTCTTACATAGTAGACTTGGGGGAGGAGTAGTGTTGATAATCCTAATGTTGCATTCAGTTGAAATTCTTTACATTAAAATACAGCTGGAATTTTCAATGGGAAAAATGGGGAAAGATCCACTTTAGACTGTGTGCGTTTGGGTTTTTTCATTCCAAATAGAGTTTTTTGTCCCTCAACAGGCAGGCAGCCAGTTTGTATATCCAGGCCTTTTATTTCTGAGAGATGTCTTATGTCAGTATCTTGGCACAGTAATTAGGATACTAGTGCCTATCAAAGTGGTTATAGAATTTTACATCCTGTGTGAAACCCCACAAGAGTGTCCTGTTTGTCTAAGCAAGATAAGGCAAGGGTCAGTAATTGTGCAAGCTAATAAAAATGTTGAGCTAGCATTGTTGGTTTAGGTTTTCCTATGGTGTTGGGGAGCAAGCACTTGCTGTGAGGGCTCCTCAGATATGACTGTGGATGACTGTCAGTAATCCACTATGCTGCGGTGAGACTGCAAGCCATACACATTTTTTTGTATACTAAGGTAATATTAAATACACTTATTTCATTTCAGATATACTGAAAAACCTATAATCACTACTCTGGTGTGGTTCTATTTGAAAAGACTTCAATACTTTAAATGGTGACTCTGTCTTCATTTAGTGAAATAGCAGTTGTGGGTCTCGTGTATGACTTGCACACTATACAAGGCAGTCTAACATACAGTGCCACAGCCACAGGAACGTAGTATCACAGGTATGATATTCAGCATAGTTGCATTCATAGAGTCCAGGAACATTGATGCTTCATCATATTCTACACTTGTGAAACACTCATCTGGAGATTTGAAAGATGTGGGTATTTTAGAAGTTAGATTTTCCACATGATCCAGAAAGGCTCATGTCTGTGAAATAATCCACCCCTAAAATTGATTAAAATAAATTGTTTTATGTTGTGCTACTGTATAAGAAAATGGCAGATTCCCAGCCAGATAATGTAGCACTTACAGATTCTGGTCATAAAAAAAGTGTAACTTTTGTTCCTTATAGCTCTTAACTTACTACAGTGGGAGTGTTGATATTGTGAGCAGTTAAAGTACATGTACAAGTAGTTACAAAGTCTTTATTAACTTGATTAAATATGTAAAAGTGGTGACAACCTTTTTTTAAAAAAAACAAGGGGGGGGAAAACAGTAAAGCAGTACAGTAAAACAGTTTTGTTTTCTCAAATCAGTTTTAAACAAAAAAGCAGATGTAAAAAAGAGGCCTGGGAATTTTGAGTCAGCTGCAAGTATATTCTACCAGTTAATGAAGATATGTTCTCTTTTGCTATAAGCAGAGTGCATTTTCACATATCAAAGTGGATCCAATGTGATAGAGATGGAAGTCATTTATTTTCTTGCAGAAAGGCCTTATGATGAGAACCTCCTCCTCATATCTGTTCTGCTGGCTGATAGATTTTATTTTACTACTTTTTTTTTCTGACTCTCAAACTAGATTTGATCTAGCTGTATAGACTGGGGGGAGAGCACAGAAGAACAGTACAATTTTCTAACCCTCTTCTTGGCAGTCAACATCCAGACCCAATGTCAAAACCTGTCCCACGTATGTCATACATGTCCAACAAATGCTTTGGGAGCCACTTGCAGCTTTTCTGTACTAAGCTTTTGGTTCTTTGAAAACCTTCCTTTCTAATGAAGTCAGCTGCAGCTGATTGCCACTGGCATGGAAAGGAGCAGAAATCATAACTAACACCAGCCTTCTAGTCTAGCTGCTGGGTATAAGAGAATTTTGGTGCTCAAATAAATAGAACAGGAAGCAGGCTGGCATCCTCAGAATTGTAGAGATTTTTAGATTGGTTTTTTTTTCTATTAGTTTTGTATGTAGTTAATGGTATACTATCTTGAAAAACCTGGATGTGACTCCCGATTTTGCTAAAGCTTCCATGACATTACATAAGAGTGTAATTGGCACTCTTATTCTGGCTTGTAACTTTTTTATATGAAGAAATAGAAATTATATTGAAAACTCATGTGCTTACATGTTTTAGTGTCATCTCTAATGCCTGTAACAACATTGATGTTAAGGATATCTGTGAATTATATTGATAATTTTTCAAGAAATGTGACTTGATTTCCTGCCTTTGGTCACTGAAGGTTGCTTACTTTCTCCACATGTGAAAGCGAAGAAGCAGCTAAGTCTGGATGCACTGGAGTGGTGGGTTCTGGATATTTAAAATCAGACAGGACTAGCAAAATGTAGTGGAATCATAAAATCCTTTTTCCAGCTGCCTAAGAGCATCGTGAACAGAGTGGACATGGAAAGTAGAAATAGATAAATCCAATATAGGTTTGTAATAGCAAAAGAATCACTTTCTTTCTGAAGAATATGAGACATTAAGAAGTAATAAACTGTTAGATGATGTCCCTGGAGTAAACATGATAGCATGTATTTTTTGTGGAATTGTTTTTTCCTCTTAGCTCACTCCATGTTGTTGTAATACTCCAAAAGAAATATATTGCTGTATTCAGTGATATATTAGGAAAACGTTGAAGGCACTGTTGCTAATTTTGATTAATTACTTTTAATTTGAGAGGGGTGTTTTGTAATTTTTGAGGATTCTGCTTTCACAGAATTTGTAGTATGTTTTAACTGTGCATTTTCTTTTATTTTCTCCTTTCTTTTTTCTGTCTTATTTTCTCTTTCCTCTGTTTCTTACTTTTTGTAGGCTATAGTACTGAATATGATGTGCCAACTGATGAAAACAAAAACCCATAAAGCAAAATCCTCTAGACATCAGCCCAAAGGTTTTCTAGGCTTACAGCCAGGTCCAATTCAAATACAACCCTTTGGCTGGCTTACATAATCACAGCTTTGTGATACATCTCACAGTCTCCAAATATTGATTTTTCTAATCCATTGGAGCAGTAGCTCAGCCCTACACAGTGCATGCAGAAGTATTTTTAAAGTGTGTTGTTAGAGGCAGTATATTCACTAATGAGTAATGGACTGAGCTGATAATGCTTAGGAGATGTATCCAGGAGACAAGCTTGAAAGGAAAATGAGGTGCAGGGAGATGTTTTTAACTTCACGAGACTGCTGAGCTTTGAGGCCCTCTAAGGATGTCCCAGTTCCTTGCAGATGGCTTAGTTCCTCTTGTAGTTTCCCTGAAGTTTAATATATTTACTTTGTCTTCTTGACCATCTGCAGGAATTTTGGGTGTTCTTGGGCTCTGAATTGATCTTTATAGAGCAATTAAGCCTCACATTTTGTGGCCCATTACTGATATTTACTGACTTTATTCTTCAGGTCTCTCTCTAAAGGGATTTATATTTTCTCATTACTTTTTTTATTTTTCCCCCTGAAGGAATCATGATGGGAAGAAAGAAAAGGTTAAAAGATCTTTTAGAACTTTTGAGTCCAATGCTGAACATGCAGAGCAGAATTACTGAAGGGATTATCTTTTCCAGAAAATTTTCCAGAAAATAATGAGAGCCTATCTGAGAGCATTCTTAAGTAGATTTGCTGTCAGATACATTTCTTCACTAATCACTCCATGGGATGCTCTTTTTTCTCCCTTCCTCCAGTGGTGTTCATCCCTCCTTGGATGAGTTTGTTTCAACTATTTCTGACAGTGGGTGGAAACCTCTTAAAAACATAATGAAAAGGCAAACCATTTATTATTCTTCCTGGAAAACATAGTTAGTAAATCAGTTACTAATTTCTGGCCATAAGTCATCAGCCCCATTTTATTCCTAAGTTCTGCAGGAACTAGGCGGTCAACTATCTCATCTGAGAGTAAGGAAAGGGAATATTTTTTATTGAATGGGGAGACATGAATCCAAAAGAGGGCTGTACTTAAAATAATCTGGAGGTACCTTATTCTGTAGTCATATCATCTAATAGTATTTCATTAACATTTGATATCTCTGTACTTGTTCTGAATTAAAGGGAAGGAAACATTTTAAAAATCTGTTCATTCTCTTGACAGTAGAAACTTTTTTTTAAATTCAGTGTTGATGCTTCTTCAGATGGATTAATTCTGATAAATATGATTGCCTATGGTTGCAACTCCTTTACTGACTCTTAAATGTACTGATACCTCGATACAAGTGAGAAGGGAGAAATCTTCAGAGAAAGAAATTTCCAGTGATCACGAAATAAAACAAAATAGCGCTGTATGCACTTGGGAGGATGGGAGGATGCCTAGAAATATATGGAACTTGGATTTCAAGCTGGTTTTGCTTTATTGTCACAAGTTTCTTTTCTTATGTAAACCCTGTATTGCTTGGAGGGAAAAAAAAAAAATCCTACCATTCTTTCTCAGAAAGGAAGAATTTTTAATTTATTTTCTCCTGAATGTTATTCTGTTGCTCTTACCATAGTTAGGTTGCTATCTGTTAAACAGATTGGATCAGCCTAAAGCAAAAGGAACTTATTGTTTTTACTGTGATTGTAACAAAAACAAAAAGAGGAAAAATATTCATAAAAGTATTTCTGTAGTGCTGCAAATATTAGAGATATGTCACTGTAGAAGACCAGCCATATCAATTAGCTCTGAATTGTTAACTGTGCCTTCCTTTAGGAAAAAAGATGTCATGTTAGCATTCAAATTAATCTTCTAGTTGTTTGACTTTCAGTGTTAATTGTTCAGTGTAAATCATAGTAAATAATTTTCATTTTTCAATATACTTTTTCAGGTACAAGTGTTTGGATTATATTCAGCAGAAGAGTTTCATGAAACATTTGACTGTCCTATTAAAGTAAGTGCTTGTTTTAATCTATAGTAATTGTGGTGGTGGTGTCTTTAATAACAGAAAGGTCGCATGCAATATAAATGAAAGAGAGGAATATCACTTCCTTACAATGTTATTCAAGTAAATAGGAAATAGTTTTCTATCTCAATCTAAAAGCTTTTGATCTAGTTAGGTAGGAAGAAAGCCAATCTTGGTTTTGTAAGAAGTATTTATTGAGTTTTTCAAACACAAAAGGAAAAAGAAATTGTCCTGTTTCAGGTGTTACCTGTCTCACCATATTTCTTTGTAGATTTGTGATACAAATTCTGAGGGTTCTGCTAAATGGGAGGTCAATACTTTGCAACCAGTTCATATCCATTAAACCTGCCTCAAAATAAGGCAATGGGCAGTGATACTGATGAGCCCTATCTGAAGGGAAGACTTGAGTTTAACTCTGCTTTAGAAAAGTCTGTCTGTCTGGCTGGTGAAAAAAGGACATCTACTAGGCATATAGCAAAATCCAGTACTTTTTAACAAGAAACATTTCTTGCAGGAGGAAAGGTGATGTGGGCAACTGTTTGCATTTTGCTGCTTGGGGTCTTCCATGTTGCAGCTGCTCTTTAGGGTGTGGGGGAAAGGAATGAGATGGTTAAGTTTTCACACGTGCCAGATGTGACATGCCAGACTTGCCTCCAAGGGCCTTTACTGCTCATACAGCTGGATCTCCACTCTTGACATTGTAACACATAAGGCAAAGAGACTGTGTGAGGTGCTACACAGTGTTGTCCTCTGGCAGGGCTGAGGTGTGTGTGCCCTGCAGGCAGGCCCCAGACCAGATTTAACTGGGGTAACTTGCTCACAGCAGTCCTGTTCTGATTGGTCCTAATTCTGCAGCTTGCTCTACAAAAAAGTAGCTGTTCAATGCAACATGATGCTCAGTGTCACCCTTGTCCTGCAGCATATAATATGAAGAATTATCTTCTAAGAAAAACAACCAAGTGTCTGAAGCAACTAGGCTTTACTTCAGAGAAAGATCTCAGCTGTAATACTTGATAATTGACAAAGGGTTATCTAGTTTAAAAAGTGATGTGATGCTTCATGTAAACTCTTGTTTAAGCCAGACTTCCTCTCTTTCCCTTTTCCCCCACCATCCCCAGATTGTTGCTGTTCATCCTCAATTTGTAAGATCCCACTTCAAGCAATTTGTAACAGGAGGAAAAAAGGTAAGCATTCATAATGAACTTTGGCTACCTTTAAATAGCCCTTGATATAGCTCAGAAGGCTATGTATGTGAGTTATAACACCTTGAACAAAGACTTCTGCTTTTTCCTTCTATTTATGCATTGTATTCTAAAACATTGTTAATTAGAAGTGACTTCAGGGGGAAAGAAAGTGCAATTTTTATGTTAAATACATGTCACAACAAGTTGAGATTCAGAGTAGAAATACCATTCTGTCTGGATAGCCTGAAAAAAAAGTAATTTATATGTTCTGGGCCAGATTTTCTCCATTTTAATTTGTTGAAGTTAGACCTTAAAACTGATCATGTTACCTGTGGGTGATTTCTTGGGATGGGGTTTTGTTTCGTTGTTTGGGGTTTTATTTTAAGGAAATAAACCCAAGTATCTTCATCAGCTCTTGGCCATGGTGAGAGGTTTTGTTGGTTTTTTTTTTTAAATGAACTAAGGGGAGTTCTTGGTATAGTAGAGCACACCCCATTCCAAGCACTTATATCTCTAGGTAGTCTTCTATTTGGATTCAGTCGGTGTTTTAAATGTGCATTAAGTGTGTTATTAGTGTAGGATACCATTCTGAGTTCCAGATTGCAGATGTTTCCATGTCCTACAGGTATCTTATATCACATTGCATATTTTCAGTCAAAATACGAAAAGTTTTATTTGGAACAATTTCTTGAATTCCTGGAATTTTATTTGCCTTCTGTTAAGAATTAAGGATGAACAATCCTCACAGATGCATCAAACCAAACGCCATTGCACTGCTCTTTACCAGCATGCAAAAACTACAGGCTTCTAGTGCTGAATGCATCTTAAATTTCATTAACAGTTCAGTAAAATGTTTCAAAGCACAGCTGTGCTTTAGTTGTTTAAGTGGTGTGTGTGCTTGACAGATTTTTCTGGCTGGTAGAAGTTGGTGTTGTCCTGAAAATAATGCACAGTCAAGTGTGTCTTTGTCAGCCACCAGTTTGTGAAGCTTTTTAGTGCTGATAAAAGGGGCATGGAAGGAGAGGAGCAAGGAATTAATAGAACAGGCTCCGTCAGGTGGTAAAAGATCTTGCATTCACCTGATGCCAAACAGAAAAAAACATCAGGGAGTTAACACATTCTCTTTGGTTATCTTTGATTACTTGACAGGTTGTTTTATATTCTGTCCTCTGGGGAATGGTATACTCATTCTTAATACATTCATGCTTTGCTGAGGAACTTTCCTCCTCAGAAAAACTTTAATTGACATCTTAACATAAGGTATTTAGCATTGAAGCAAATATCACTTGACATCTGAAATTTGATTTTATTGGTACAGAAAACCAACGAATAAAGCTTTTAGCCTTGCAGTAGAAGCCTTTCTCCTTCTCTTCTTTCCTCCTAAAGGAGCATATGTACTTCTGTAAAAGCAACCACAAAATGCTTTTTGAAAATTCAGAAAGCTAAATTCCACCTACTAAGAAAGCTACTTTCTTGCTTTTTCTGAACATTTACACCTCTCCTTAACTGTAAAGCCAAAGTGTAGTATTGAGGCAGCAGGCAACAGGCTGCTAAGAGTGAAGAGAAGCAGGCTGAAGCATACAGCCTCAGGCTGTGGACCTCACCACTCTCTCCCTGTGTCTGGGGGATTGTGCCTACTTAAGCAATGTCAAGCAACCAAAGTGAGCTCCTTCAAGGAGGGGAACAGTCCTCCTGTGGCTCCTGAGGTCTGTGCACTTTTAGCCTTGGCATGTATACACTAACTTCATCCCTGATAGCTGGCAGTGGTGGGAAACATGTTGCCTGTTGTCCTCATCCACACCAAGGTAAGAGTAACAGTAAGAGTATCTTCATTTTGGAACAAATGTAAAAGAAAAGCTTTGCTTAAAACTGTAATGGTATGCTCCTTGCCTGAGCTGCCTTAAAAAACATGGTATATATCATGTGAACTCTTAATCCAAAAGCTTGCTGGATCCATTTTTGTTTTTACTTTCTGAGAATGGTGACATAATGTGTGCAAGCAATTTTAAAGTGGAGTGAGTTTTTTTGTTTGCTTTGCCTTCATTTGTTTAGAAAAATATTCTTCATAACGATATAAAATGTGTAAAAAATACATTTTTCAGTTCAAAGATCCACTCAGGGCATCCTGGAAATATTAAGAGATGGAAGTGGGAAAAAGACCCTAGCAACATGCTTCAGGGATGCACATTGCAGGTCCTCAGTTCCCTACACAGGTGGATGTCTGGAACTTGGGTGAATTGCTGTGTAAGGCTGGGATTTGCTACATCTTAGAAGCTCAGCCTGACCTAAAGCTGACTTAAGAGCAGTGCTCCCTAGGGTATCTGGGGTAATCATTGTGAGTTGTAAGCTTAACTCTACTGTGCATTTGTTTATATGTTTGCTTAACTTTGCTTAAGTAGGCATATAGAGAAGCTTTTCTCTAAAATGTATTATGAACTAATTGAATTGTTTGCATATTAAAGCATTAGTTTTTAAAAGAAAAGAACTTCTGTTAAAATTGAGATAATATTTTGGGTTGGTAAAGCTTATTTCACCCATTTTCCTAAGTGAATTTATATTATCTGTGCCTGGAAATAAGGCAGGTACTGTGGAAACTGACACTGTTGCAGTGAGAAGCACTAGGTGCCATACTAAAAGGAGGTGCTTCCCTGTTCCCCTCCTCATCTCTGCAATTAACCACAGCACCGTTGTGCTTATTTAGCAGATGATGGTAACCCTGAAATAATAATACTGTATTATAATAATAGGGGATTTCTGTCCAGAGCAGACAATAGAGCTTCAAAGCAAGGGAAAAGACAAATACTGTGTTATTGCAGGCCATAACCTTCTACCTTTTAAAAAAAGGCTCTAATCTCAAAAAATAACAGGGTAAAAGCCAACTAAATGAGGGTGGTAAAGCTGAAAACAAGGTTTTCTTGATTTAACTCTTAGAGTGCTGGTCTTCCCCTATACATCAACTAAATAAATGTTTTTGTGAAGTCCAAGTATCCGTTATGTCATGAGGGTTAAACAGACAGAACTAATAAAGAAAGAAGACTGAAGATTATTTCAGATGCAAAGTCCAGGTATCAGCTACTGTGACTTATGTAGAGACAAGGAGAGCAGGACAAGTTGAGATTCCTCTCTTGGCAGAGACATCATCTCTATTAACATCAATAACTAGATGCAAAGGTTTTTGTAGAGAAACACTTAGGAGAGTGAGTCCTCTGGAGTGATTGAGTCACTCTGCTGAATGTGTGCTAATGAAGGCGTTTTTTGAGTCTTCTCAACCTAGCATGGTAGTGGGGACCCAGCACAAATTAAGCAAATGTATTCTGAAGGATAGGAGTAGAATATTCTGTATCATAGCGGACTGGGTCTCCTCATTTGCCTAGGACATCTATTTTGTATAATAAATATTGATTTGCATGCCCACTCTGAAACATTTTAAGGGCTAGAGAACCAAAATAAAACTGATTTACCCAGTGACTGTCAACAGTGTCATCTCTCTATATCTATCTGTGTCTATAGCTACACAACATATTAATGAGTTTTTATATATATATTTGTTGGAAATATATATAAAAACCTTTTTAATAATGTCTGTGTTTCTTTTGCTGCAGAAGATACACTATAAGAACTGATCTTCAAATACAGATGTGTCTGATCGTGTTTGTCCCATTTATCCTCCTAGAATTAACATTTAAATATATCAATGCTTGTGTTTAAATATTAGACTCTTTTTTCTTTTATAAAAGCAGAGAGAACTTATTGTTATCTGGGGGAAATTTCTTATTAAAGAAAAAACAAACAAAACAAACAAACAAACAATAAAAACTATTTCAATGTCAGAATTTTGGACCCATGGTAGCTCTTGCCTGAAATGCAAAACAAGACAATCTAAATTCCTTTCCACTCCAGGTGGAGCGACAACATATACATAGAAAGCATGGTGATTGCAAACAGTTCAGAAGTGGAAAGAGAAAAGCATTGTTGAGGATCTGTGACTGCTGTTAGGGGTAGTGGAATTTCTATGTTAAAGTCAAGGAATGTCTCAGATATTTTTTTTTAATTGTTGCTTTTTTGTGTCAGCAGATGCACTTTGTGTGGTGAGTAAGTAGATGACCTTACCTCTGAACCCTATGATATGTACTTCATAATAGCTGAAGTACTTTGACAAATTATTAAATTGTCAGGATGCTGTTTGCAGCGCAGTCCATTTTTAGAAAGCAGATAGTCAGCTGTTTGGCATTATGTTGGGTAGAAGACTACCAGACAAGAAAGGCAGATTGCTTTGTAAGCTATAAAATGTCACTCAGTGAATACTCAAAGGTCTGATTTAAGTGAAGAAGAAGTAAATATTGTGGCAATTTCTGTCCATGCGTTGGATAATTTACCATAAGTAGGAAACAAACTGTAGCAGCAAGTAAACCACAATACTTCTAGTCTGTTATTTCCTTGCTGCCATGTATAATGCCCAGATGTATCCCATATTATTAAACAGAGGAGACTTGGATATGTAATGTGTCCTGTTTCCTTATAATAAGCTTTGCTTGCGTTTCTTCTTTATGGGTATTTGGGTAGATGTTTCTTCTTTATTACTAAAACAAAAACTCTCCTTGTGCAGCAATAAATTTGGTTTGTGTAAAGGAAATGGATCATAGTCCTATGTGCATGTAATCTATAGTTTTGTGTTTTACAAATGTCTGTGTAGAACCCTTTTTTTCATTGCCTGAGGTGGCAACTGAAGAGGATCTAAGTGTATGAAATGTGTCTCTCTGCCTGCAGGATGGCAGGATTTGCTTTTCAAGGTGTTAATTCTGTAGCTTTTTTGAATAAGCAGCAGCTGGAATGTGGCAGTTGAGTTATTAAAAGTGAAGCTTAATAAAAGTCCTGTGGCATTTGTTTGTATTAAACATCTCAAAATGTCTAGCTCCTCTGTCCATGAAGTACAGCAGTAGCTCCTGTTTCATCTCTCACTGTTGGCCATCACATACCTCCTGGTACTGTGTGTGCCTCTGCCTCCTTGCTTGATTTCCCTTGACTGCACTTGCTGCCCTCCTCTCTGTTCACATCCCAGCTCCCTGCACAACATTTTGTGATGAAATCTTGAAAGCTCATCTTCAGCCACAAGCTTGAGGCTTACGTTACTCTCTGTCTTGTTTGGGCTCATTCTAGTCCCATCGTCTGTTTCAAATGCAAAGTATAATTTTTTATTGTTGCTGTATGTTTTCCTAGGGATGAACTATTAAACAGTAAGTCTTCATGAGGCATGCTGTTCTGTGTTACTCTCTGGTATCTGTTAATCTTGACTGTGCCTGTAAATATTTGTTATATGCTGAAAACAATAAATAGCTGTAGCGGTCACTTGTAACCATGGAAATAGCATTTTAGATTTTTGTGGTCTTGCCTGGCTGAGGTGAAAGTGGTGACAGAGGCACCAAAACACAGGACAAATGCCAAAGGTAGGCTCCTCCTCACACTTAGACAAAGAACAGGACAAGGAAATTACAGGGACTTTTTTCCCGATTTTGATTTTGGGAGATAAAAATTGATCCAACAGTTCTGCAGTAGGGAATGGAAAAGTAGCTCTTCAGTTACAAATGGAAGACTTAAGCCTTTTTTTCTAAACTTCACTTTTTCTTCACTAAATCTTCTTCAAATCTTTACACAGAAGTCACTGTGTTGAAACAAAGTAGTGATGCTAGGCATCATTAAAAGTGTGTTTCCTTTGAAATTTCTGTGAGAACAGACAGATTTTATTTCAGTATATTGAAGCTAGTAAGTGGTAGTGAGAATAAATGAAATTTAATTACTTCACCATGTTGATACTTCCAAAGTTGCAAATCATTCACCTTTTTGTTCCGAGGATTGGGAATTCCTGTACATAGTTTGAGACCAGGATTACATGTAGTTAGTGTTAATGCTAATTGCATGACAGGCTCCATTATGTCCAAGCACTCATCTATTCTCTTTCCTGGATGCACTCTAAAATAGAATGTTGAGCTCTTTTTGGTGTAGATTAATCTCCTGTTAATAAAATATATGGAGAGATATATTCACTAATCTAAAATATGTATTCATGTATTCACTAATCCAACTTTTTTTTAAAACCAAAAAGTGTCCTGCTCCACCTCTTGTCTCATACATTTCAGTGTCTCATTTTTCTTAATGATCTGGTGGACAATATGCAGTTAAGACTGGCAAAAGAATTAGTGAGCTAACAGAAGATTGCAATGTGCTGTGAAACAATGTGGGTGGGGACCTTGATGCTAAAGGTTATTTTATTTCAGCTGTATTATCAAATTGCAGTGCATGCAAGAAACACTGGAAGAGTGTTCTAAGCACAACTGTATTGTATGTAACAAAAGGCTAGAAAGTTTTATGAGAGCAAATGAAAAACAGGGAAAACAAAATATTGCAGAGAAGCCAAGAAAGTGGAATTTTGGCTGCTGTTGAAATATAAGTACTGTGAATGCTGACAACCATAATTTAGGATTTATGGCAAATAAAGTCTTAAAATATTTTTCTCCTACCAAAAAGGGAGGGAGGTGGTAGGAAGAGCCCCTCTAGAAACCATGGATTTCTTCTTGCAAGTCTTTTGAAGTTTTAAATTACCTTCTGGTATGATCAACATTTCAATGTGGAGACAGAAAGGAAGGCTAAGAAAGAAATTAGGCTGTTCATTTTGAGAGAGATGCTTTCAGTAGACAGCAGTTCCAAAATATATAGGAAAGTTCTGAGTTCACAAATTCAATTTCCATGTGCCATTGCTCTAAGAAATAATAAATAAATCACAGTATATATATCATCAGCACACAGATAATTGCACTGAAGATAATTTAGTTAAGCATGTTTTGAGATTGCATTTTTTTTAAAGCCACAGTATGAAGTGCCCTTTGGCCTCAGTGTTTGACCTATTTCAGTTGCTGATCTGAAGATGGGAATGATAGGGTGTTTCAGTGATTCAATTTCCATCCTTATTATAGCTGATACCAGCCTGTTGTCTTATACTGCCTTGATCTAAAAGCTTGTGTTCTTAGGGTTGAGCATAGATGGAAGCAGGATTTTTCAAATTATCTTCTCTCTTCAGAAGAACTTTCTCAGATCACTTACTTTTCCATGCAGTTTGTTATTCAGAGTTATGAAGAAGCATGATGTTCACAAACCATGAATAACAAAAAAGATGCAAAGTGTCACACCAAGTTTGCTCTGGATTTTGAGTATAATAAATTAATTTAAATCACAATTCAGTCACAAGCAGAAAAAATTCCAAGTACAATTAATATAATTGACATTAGCTAGGTTTAACCTTTCACATCATCCACATCAGCTTTTAGATCTTTGTCCAGTAAGTCTCAATGCAAATACCACGTATTTTGCTGCTGCCTTTATTGTATGGTATAAGCATCCAAGCAGCAGTTCTTCTTCTTCTCCTTAGGAAAAAAGTAACTTTAAAGTCTGGATCAGCACAGCACTTTTTTTTTTTTTACAGCATCTTTAGCATCTGAGTGGAGATCATTCATTTGGGCTGAGGGCTGCTCCTATGCTTAACATCCACCTACCAATGTTCCAATGGAAATCCCTCCATATGGCAGTGAATTGTCGGTGTAGATGTTATGCTGCTTCCAGTGACTTGCCCTGGTGGCTGCAAAGTAACATGTTCTGTGAGAATTACTCAGTAACCTTTTCATATGTGGGAAAAAAACCCTATACTGTCTAAAAGTTGGACCTTCATGTGACCTATGTAAAGGATGCAAAATCACTTTGCTTGAATTAAAAGATTGATGTCTGCAGTGCAATTCATACAAAAATTTCTTAATAGGCTACCCTACCTAATGCTTGCTTTAAACTCTTGGAGAAAATACTTGTCTTCTGGTGCCATCTGGTGGCTTTAGGAGACAGGCAGTCTGATAATTGCCATTAAAATCTTGCATTTTGTTTAAAGATCTTATTTTAAACAACTAATATCTTAACACTTTATGTATTTATCCAAATACAGGTGGTGGGAAACCATATATAAAAAGTGCATACAGCTGGATCTTAGATAGGAAATATTAGCAAGAACAGTACTCCTTTTGGGTTTTAGCATGGTAGAAATCCTTGCAGCCATCTATTTCACACCTTCCAGTGTGAGGTGTGAGCTCGGGAGCTTGGGTTCAGGTTGTGCATATATTTGTATGTGGGTGTACTCATTTAAAATATAGCAGGACTATGATCTCAGTAGATGCTTCAGCTTCATACTTAGATATCCCTCCAAGTGCTGCACTTTGCTTCTCTCACAGTGATTCCTAGTAATCCTATTAAATAACTTAATGAGACATACAAAATCAGAGTGTTCTGATTTGGAAGGGACCCACAAGGATCATCGAGTTCAACTCTTGAGTGAATGCCCCATAACTGGATCCAACCTGCAACCTTTACATTATTAGCACCATGCTTCAGCTAACCGATATGGGCTGTCTTTCTGTGTGGACTTTCTGCTTGTACCTGGGTTTTTCTTTGCTGCTGAAAAGCATCCCATAACATCTCTTATGCTTTTAGATATTCTAAAATACCTTCCTTAGAACCTGAGATTACCAGCACACAAGTTTTACAGTCAGCAGCACTTGTGGTATAGTGCAGTTTGCACATGTGGGACTAAACCACAGTATCTCTAGGCCCCTGTGGAATGCTGTGTAGTTCCACATGGAGGCAAGCAAAAGGTCACAGGCCTGGGGATCCTCTAATTTTCTTTGACTGCTTATTTTTTTCTGGAGGGAAGGAGCATATAACGAGATTGATGAATGTCGAGATCAGTGAGGTGACCTGGTTTCTTTAACAATTTTCTGAACTGTTGTCACTAGTGCTGTAGACTTAGGTTTGGAAATACCCTTATTTCTTTGTCTTTAAAAGGTGAATAATTATTCTTACTGTTCTTTGGAGAAACTTGATGAAAGGCCTTCTGATTAATATTTTTAAAATTTAACAGGAATTCTGTAATATACAAGATGTTTGATGTAAATATAGTATAGCAAAATGTTTGATGTTTTTTGCTTTTGTTTTGTGATAGGTTTGTATTTTTCATTGCTCTTAAATCCAAACAGAGTAAGGGATAATGAAGAAAAAATAACTTCAATGTCTGCATACAGTACTGTGTCAAATATTTATTGTTGTACTTCTTCATAGTTGCTGTTGTATGAAAGAGGTTGGATGAATAGATGGAAGCCTTCAGTTTTACATGAAGGGGAAGGAAATATAAGAAATATTAAATGGAGAGGGCACCTAATTGCTTGGGCTAATAATATGGTAAGTATTTTTCACTTTCATTACATGTACAAAAAAATCTCTGTGTTACACTGATTACTGACATTTTTCAATGCTAATTGCCAGAATATTCAGGTGAAAAGCTGTGAATTTTTAGAATTGAGTATAAAAGACATTGAAGAATAGTGGTTTATATGTTATTTCTTTCTGGAAATTTCATCTGTCGTTTTCTGCTCATTAGTCAGGGTTCTCCAATATGATTGCCACTTCTGAAGAAATTAGGAAAGTAGCTCTACATACCACTGTGATGGTCGCTAATGTGCACTGTTATTAATTAAAATTTTGATTAGTGCAATTTATTGAAGCAAACTGAGGAAGGAATGCCTGTGTAATTCCTCTTTATATAAATAATAGAACATCTCCACTCTCTTCCGCCCACCCAAAAAAAATAAACTGTCTGGATTTTGTCATTTGTACTGAAATGACATTGTCATATGCACTTTCACTATTGCAGATTATAAAAAAATACAGTAATAATTTCTCATTTTGTTAGGCCACTAGAAGAAAGTTAGACTTAGAAAAAATAGGCCTCTTTTGTTCTAAGTGTAATTTTAAAGGAAACCATTGCATTCATTCTGAGTGTTACATTTCACCTATCACTGTATATTTAATTGATGGGTCAAGCTCTATGTTTTGCAGCTCAGCAGTGAGGGATATGTTTTTAATGTGTATAATGTCTAAATTCCAAAGTATTTTTTAAAATGTGTTGAAAGTACTTCTGAAATGCTAGCTTTTTTTTCTATTGTTTTCCATCCTAAATGGAAGCATTTATTAAAATATTTTAAACCATTGTTCTTTTTTATATTTCAAAACCAGTTTGATATGAAATTGTTAAAGGTGGACCTTTGTTTATTTGCTTCCCTTTAATAACTCTGTTAGAATGGAAGCTTCACTGAGGGCTTGACTGACATTACATTAGGTTATTTGAAGGTTTTGTTCTTTTCAGATCCATATAATTAAAATATGTATTCTAGGTATCTGCTGGAATGGATAGGACAAGAGCTATCTATAGAGATGATGTGCCACAACAGAACACAGAGTACTAATAAAACATTGAGAGCCATCTGTCAGAGACAAAAAGCCATGATCAGGGCCTATATTTCAAAGAAAAATGAAATGACATTTGCCCTCCAAAAGATTAATATATTTGGTTATTGCCCTTTCTCTTCCCCTTTTATTTTTTAAACTCCATTCTCTAGCAAGGTTTTGTGTTACACTTCTTTTTTCCCAAATCAGAGAAAATAGCCTTGCTTCTTACTGTGTGTTCAGGCTACCTAGTTTTTTATTTAGGTAAGGTCTAATTCTGCTTTTCTGATGCATAGGTAACCCATGTATTCTGCTTTTCCTTCCCTCTTCTCCTTCCTCCATGGCTAATAGTGTAAGTTTTACAAACTGAGACAGCTAAGGGATAAATCCTTAGAGGCATTTGTCTGCTGGACTCCCATTTGGACAGGTTTTAGCTCATTCATGATGGGAAGTTGACTGTGGAAGGCCTTTCAATTCATGATGCAAATGGCATACCTGTTAGAGGAGAAGCTACTGCTCAGGAATTCTCACACCATTCAAGGAGTCACACAAACACTATCCCACACTTTAACTTCAAGGACTGGAGTCCTTTTTCGGTGGGCAGCTCCAAAGAGCCAACAGGGACCCTTTTGATTCCTTGCTCACTTCTTGTGCACCTGCTCGCAGGCAGAGCATGGGAAATTACATAGCAACAACTAAAATATCAGTGAGCCATCAACATTATTCTTACAGTAAATCCATAACTCAGCACTGTACCAGCTACTAAAAAGAAAATTAATAACTAATTAGCAGCCGAAAACAACAGGTGTAAGTTCAGAGCTTACCACCCAAGACTTCAAAAAAATCCAGCTACTTATGCTAAGCAAGTAAACCTAAGCAAGCAACATACTATATCGCACAATATTATAACTCTAAGTAGCTTACTCTTATGTAAAACTTATTATATTAATCAACTGTCTCTCAACACTTATAACCAAAGAAGATCCTACACTGTTAGTTTGAAAGCTACTTCAAACAAGAGCTGGTCTATCCCATATAAGATTTGCTGCCATGTAGAAAAACAGAAGGTGTGGTATGAGTCACTAAAAATCATCCTTGGAGACAAAGTGGTAAGATTTATAAAAAGCAACTTTATTAAAATGCAATTCAAGCAAGATTAAAAATGTATCAGATGAGCTCAGAAAACACAAAGGATAATATTGCTTATGTTACTTAGACATCTGCGTTCTGTACATTGCAGATGTTTTGGTAAGTTGTTGTTTTTGTTTGTTTGTTTGTTTGTTTGTTTTTGAAACCTTGATGTCTGCTAGCTGATGAGTTGTTAGTGGAAGTGTGTTCCATGCTAACAGTTACTCAGTGACAAAGATCACTGAAAAAAAATCCCACACGCACCCTCATACCAGTTACCTTGTGGTTAAAAAAAGAGGCAAAACCTGGCTTAGACCATGACCCCCCTGGCTTAGACCATGACTTTTAAACAGTTGTATCTGTGTATTTGTACAGCTGAGGACAGAAACTCACAATGGGGGGGACAGAAATAGGCAGGGGAATCTTTTAAATCAGTTTTGTCACTAGGAAAATCCTAACATGGCATGGCATCATGGTTGCTGATCTTTCAAGGTCTTTTCCATCCCCCTTTTCTGTGATTTGAAGACTCACTCTCTAAGACCTACAAAAAAATTTTATTTTTGAGACTTATGTTTTAAATTATGAAGAACAAGTCATTGCTTAATATGAAATTAACCTCCATTTTTCTATTGGAAAGGTTATAGCTTACCTTGTCTAAATGATACAGAAAAATCTAATTATTGGTTCTTTTTTTCCTCTGTCTCTTGAATGACTTTATTCTTCCTGAGTTTTAATTTCTTGTTCTATTAGTGTAAGAGATTTCCTGAGGAGGGAGTAAAAAAAATCACAAAAAGTAAAAAAAAAATTAAAAACCAAACATTGTTTAAATATGCTCACTTTCCTGTTTTCATAAGAGTTTAAATGCATATCTTGAGACTGAATTAGTTTATCTTAATGAGCTGTTGCTTTTCTTTTTCCAAAGTGGAAATTTCTGTGTCTCTGCAGGGACTGTTGTGAAAAAGCTGGGATTCTTTTGATTTCTCCAGGAGTAGCACCAACCTAATAAACCAAACTGGTTCTTGACTGGAATTGCTAGTCTGTCACTCATTCACTTGTTATGTCTTTTTATTTGACATGTGAATTTAAAACATCTAAATTACTCTGATCCCTTTTCTCCTTTTGTCACTTCCTGGGTTAGATGGGGTTTTGTATCAACAGTTTTTTCTGGTGGCACACTCAGCCCTGCTCTGAAATTTATGCTGTAAACTGCTCTGACTGCCTTAGCGTACAAAATGGTGAGTAGGAGTTTGTCATACTGAATAAAGTTCTCTTGGTTTTAAACTTTCAGGGCGTGAAGATACTTGACATGATCTCCAAGCAAAGAATTACCAATGTGCCTCGAGATGACATAAGCCTTCGCCCAGATATGTATCCCTGCAGCCTTTGCTGGAAGGATAATTTAACGCTGATTATTGGCTGGGGAAATTCAGTAAAGGTGCAATTACCTGTCTTTGTAATAAATGCTTGCTGTTATAACAGACAAACGGAGGATTGTTTCTGAAAAGTAAAGACAATCGAAAAAAATAGAATTTGGTTTGACCAGTGTTCAGAACTCTTGCTGCCTCAGAAATGTCATTGGACTGACCCTCACAAGGAGGAGGAGTGATAGGCACCCAGCAGTCAGACAGATCTCAGTGTGAGAGCATGCAGTGAATGTATTCCTCAGGGACATTTCACTCCTTGAAGAGATGTTGTCTTTGGAAAGCTTTTAGTGTGCTGTTGAATTCATTTCTTTGGACTAGCATTAAGGAAGAACAACTTACCATGAGGTATTTTTGTGAGGGGATTGGTTTGAGGGCTGAGGAGTTTGCAGCTGCTAAAACAGCCACCTGATTTTGGTCAACCATGGGGGGGAAAAAAGGGTGAGTGGAAGGACAGGCTGCTTAGGGTTTTGTTATCTTTCAACAGGAAACTGGCATTTCAGACTTGTGTGGTGCAGACTGATTATCATTTGCTCAGACCAGCATATGACATGAGTTTGTTACAAGCCTGTTAGCTGTTTTCTAATAACAGACTGCTGCATCACTGCACAGTGGGAAATTAAAAGTGCCTGATAGGAATAGATGGAAAGGGAGGGTGGAGTGAGGTAGGTGACATGTAAAAAGCTTTTGGAGCGTTAAGCTTAGAGTTTTATAAATGAGGAGGTTTGTCCTAAGTTTGGCATCTGTCTTCCCCCTTCTATTTGCCTTCTAAATGCTTCACAACATTTGGTTATTTGCATTTCTTTGTATCTGCATACTCCCCTCTTGTAACTGGGAGGAGCAACAGCAAACTTGGTGAACAGGAATCAGGTACCTTGAAAGATAATGAGACACAAAGTGTGAGAAGACACCAAAACCAAACTCATAAATAAACGCCTCTGTGAAGAAACCACAGTGGCATGTATTTTCACATTTCTTTTATGTGGTCCTATGTGGTCCTCTTCTCTCCCAGCGTATTTATAAGGCTGTGAACTACAGCCGCTACTTTTCTGTGTGGTTTTCTTTACTGATGCATCATTACTGTTTCACAGCTTGTGTTTTTCAAAATAAAGAAATCCGTATTGGAGAACTCGCGAAAATTGCTTTTATTATTGAGGTAAAGGTAGTGTCATTTTAGGAATTACAGCTTCCTTATTGTAACAATTCAAATCTCTTGTTTCCTAGATTTGCTCAGTAAAAGAACGGCATGCCAGTGAAATGCGTGACCTACCAAACCGCTACGTGGAAATAGGTATGGTTGTATGAATTCACTCCTTCCCAAAAAGCTTTAGAAGTCTTCTACATGCTAGCCAGAACAAAAGTGTTACGCTTTGGAGGCAACATGTAACGTAAATGTCTCCTCAGTTTTAGTTGCTTAGGTTATCATAATGCCCTCTTGCCTAGGTGTGAGGGTTTTTTCTAGAGAACCTTAAGTTCTGTGATGATGTAATATCAAAGATACTTGTGTGAACAGTGGATAACTTAACTTTCCCTTCATACAGATTCCTTTAGAGAACTTGAGTTTTCATCTTGCCTAAATGATTGATGGTCAGTGTCGCAGTAAAGAGAAAATAGATACTACTTTATTTGATTATATGTTGTTTGACTACACTACTCATAACATTTTTCTCTTTTTTTTCCCCCCATAAAAATAAAATCTCTGGTGTAGTGCTAGGAAATTGATTTTAATTTATTTTTGTTTCCTTTCTTGGCTTGTGAATTTCATATTTTCATTTGCTTTCTTATTTTTCTAGCTAATCTGATGTGAATAAATGTTTCTTATTGCTGATTATTGGAAAAGTTCTTGACAAAGTGGAATTCAAAGAAAATTTGGAAGGGAAGTGGGGATGTAAACAAAAAGACACAAGTGTCCCCAGAAGTGTCTGCTGGGGAAAAGATGTGTCTAGGAACAGATAGTGCTGGCCCTCTGAAGATAAGCAGGCCCTCTGACTCTGCAGATGAGAGTGGGCAACAGTTTGTAGGCGTTGATGCTCCCTTGACTGTAGTAGCATGAGATTGTAAATACGGTGTTCAAGCAAGATCCTGAATCATGTCAGTTTGGAATGGTGTATGGCATATGTGTGCATATGCTCTGTTTTCTGATTTCAGGAAGGGACTGTTCTAAAATAGCTTCTGAAAATCATCCAGGAGACCTGTTAAGCTCTGCAGGGAGTCTGAATACTGAGAGATGGGTGGTGTGCCTGAGAATTAACTGAAAACTGAAAGCTATTTCATGTTTAGGATTACACAGTGCAAACAGACTATTTAACTGCAGAATTCTAGGATATTCACAATAATTTTATCAAGGAAAAGTTTGGTCATGGGTTTTAGCCTCAGATCTTGTATATAATATTTTCTGTATCTGTAAATAGCTTTTAGAAAATAACTAAATGAGTTTGGTCACATACTGGCAAGTGAACAGAGGTAACTCCTATTTCATCTGTAATGTGCTTATATGGATAGTGCTAGTTTTAGGTGGCTGTCTATTGGAACTTGATTAAAAAGCATAAAAAGTTGTCATTGGGCTATTTAGGTGCAGACATGAAGGATAAAGATTTATGTGGAAGTAACTTTTTCATCTTAAAATTTCTGGCCTGTGGTTTTCTCTGTAGTCCAGAGGACTGGCATTTTATCTCACTTAAGCTGTTAATGATGTGTTTGAGATTTTATTTTCTGGTTTCAAGTCAAAGCACCGAAATTGCTTTGCTAAATGCCGTCCATGTCACTCTAGAACCTGGGAGGATTGGGACGGAAAAGAAAGAGACATTGTTTGTTCAAGTCTCAGTATAAATTAATAGTCTTAGTCTTCTTGACTGCAGTATGTCATGCCATAACCTCTATTTCAATTTTACTTCATCATTATTTTTCAAAGGTATTGCCAGAAAATCCGATCTTATATCGGACCTGCAAACAGTATAGTATTTTTGCCAGACCACTAATATCCAAAGTGAATGTATAAATTTATATGTTTGCATAAAGTAAAGAATCTATACAAGACAAGAATACAGTCCTTCAATGCAAGGACAATTGAGTATCCTTCAGATATTTTGACTCATAAGATCTTTTCAACAGACTTACAAAAGGCGAAACCCTTAACACAGTATTACTTTTGTCATGTTTAGTGGTGTGGTGTTTTTTAAATTTTTTTTCTCCCGCTTTTACAATTTTTCACCTGGAAAGAAAACCAGAAATGGAACAGGAAACTTCATAGTTGCTTCTTTGGTCATCTGGGTAATAGATATGGAGTCTATGATAAAACAGTGTCCTGTCACATGTCAACAGTTTCAGATTTATGCTGTTTTAAAGCCATTCTGAGGGCCCCTAGTTCTATAGTGGTATCATAGAAAACTGTGATGGCTTTAGTAGATAATAAATGTTCCTTCAGTACTTTGCAGCCCAGTGAATAAGGAAACAGTATTTCCTGCATTGCAATTTAGGTGCATAGGATTCTGTTTAGCAAAGTACCTCCTCATCTTCTGTTTCTGTCTCAAGAATTAGCTATACTTACTCTAAGGTGGGAAATAATTTCACTATCTGCTGTGATGCCGAACCCCACAATGTGTGAAAGTTACACCGCTGAGCTGTTCTGCATGTTTTATCTTAAAGAAGATAATGCTGTGATTATCTGTAAGAGAAAATAGATGAATTATACAGGTCTCATGCACTGAGATTCATGTGGCATTGCTAATTCAATTTACATCTTTCAGTATATTAGTTGTGCTTTTCTTCAGTAATCTTACTATTGTTTTTGCTACAGTTCATTACCTCTGAGAGTCTTCATTCAGTGTCAAAGATAAACTCCGAGTGTTTCTATTTAGGTTTAAACATATGTTAGCTGAGCAGATCCTATCAGTTTAGCTCTGTCAGCAACTGCTGTGAAGTAGTGTATTGATTAGAAGGTATTGGTATTGAATTACAGGCTTAACGTGGACTAAATGCCATTGTGATCCTTCTTAAAGAGTGCTTGACCTCTGTGCTCACTCCTGAAGCGTGTACAAAAGCTGTAATGCTGCTGCACAGCTTCTACTCTGAACAGGGAACCCTTCCTCAACTGGAGCCCAAGAGAAGGCTCGTTGCTAAATAACTAATTAGACTTTCCAGTTAATAGAATACCTTTTCAAAGGAAAATAGAAAATCTAGTCTTCCTTGGCCTTGGCAGGATTTTATATACTTTTATGGAGAAGTACTTTATCTCTGCCTCAGTTACTCAGGTTGTTAATGATAGCAGAAAATAGAGATAAACACCAGAAGTATGAAAAAGACTTCAAGTTGATTAGAGAATTTCAATTCAATTTACTTTTGTCCAGATTTTGTCTGAGGAATCTCAGCTTAATTACAGGTACAAGCCAGGCAGCAATGTCTCTTGAATACTTGTCCCCTTTGCATTCTACCAAATTTCCCACAAAGCAGTTTTCTGGTTAAAAATTACAAGTTTCAAGGTTATGCTTGTAACAACATATCTGTATGTTTTACAAGGGAGTAGCTTCACACCTGCATGGCAAGTTAGCATCATGCATTGAGATTGCACATTTCAATCTGAATACATGGGAATATTTATTTTCTTGTTTGTAAAGTGAGATTAATGGGATCTAATGTGTCGACATATTTCTCTTTATGTAGACAGAATGTAAGGCTTAATTGATAAATGTGATGATCAGGAAATTTACTTCATAAGGTGATTTATGCAAACATTTCATTTAAGCAAGTCTGCTATACTCTGAGAAGCCAAAAAAAAGAAGAAAAAACCCAAACCTAGTTATATAGTTGATTCTACTTGGACTTTTGTTCATCTGTTTTGCCACAAGCCAAACTTATAATTTATAAATTGCTTCATAAAATGAGTCAAAATTCTTCAAGATTTTGACTTCTTTGTCATCAAACCTTGGAATTTCGAAGCCCCAAAATTCTTCAAGACTGAATATTTTTCCTGTTGGTTAACAAAGTGTTCTTGGTTCAATGGAAAAAAAGAGTTTTTCAGAAAATTGGCTTTGTAGCTTAAGTGATATTTATGTGGGGCCTTTTCTTGTCCTCTAGTTGGAACTGAACATGCATACTGTTGGGGAAAAAAAAGTTATATTTTCCATCAAGTGTAACTCCATGCACAAGATAATAGCTAATCAAATCGTGCCATTTTGTATTCTGTTTTTGTTTGCATAAATTACCTAGCTCACTAAAAACATCTGCAGAATTTGTGTTCATTGTTATAGGTCACAATGCACCATACCCTTGAGAGTTTTCAAGATGGTGTCCCCACCACCAGTGCTTTTAGGTGGAATCAGAGGTAAAACTCTGACTATAACCAAAGTTTTACTCTTCAAAATCTGCTGTGGTAAAGCAGGGGCTGCTTTTAGAGTTTTGACTAAACAATATTGGCTCCTCTTAGTTTCAGTGTCGCGTACATGTGGATCTTTAAATCCCAGAGAAAGTGGCTATGCAGTTTAGGTAAATATTATAGCATATATAGTGTCATTTCTGTAGTTTAGTGTATTTCATACATTTCATTTAATGAGCAGCAGAAAAGATTTACAGGTTTCTTCATTTGGCTTCCAGGAAATTTATTTGACATCTGTACATAGATGCTGAACATGGAGTAGATCCACTGTCAGCCTGTCTTCTATCTTCTCTTATGACAGGCATAAACATGTATGACACATGGCCATACCTCAGTCATTTCCATTTACTTCAATACTACATTTGTTTTAATTATTTTAGATCCTTTACAAATTACCAGCATTTCTGCATTGCCTTTATGTTGGATTTCTTTTCCTCCTTGATCACAACACAGTGTCCAGAGAGTAAGTCAATTTAACCTATTATTGTTCTGTGCAGCTGTTACTTCCATCTTCTTTTTTCAGTAAGACTTTTTTGATTAGCAGCATCAAAGGTTTTTATCAGGTCAAGAAGCACTGTCTATGCCAGTTATTCTTTGTTCAAGGCTGTAGCTGCAGAGCTAGAGCATTGTGTTTCAACAACGCCTCTTGAGAAAGATGAGCTAAGAGAAAGCTGATAGTGAAACCAAGGAAACTATATTCTGTTCAAAAACAAAACTTGAGGTGGTGATTCTTATTTGTTTGTTTATTTATGTTTCACATATCATTACTTCTGTTGATCTTAAATACACCATTACATTGGGCATTACAAGCATTTTCACTGGCAAAAGGGACTTAAATTCTAATATAAGACAAAGAAATACACATGGATTTTAAAGCTGTGTCTATAATAATTATAAATGCTAATTCACCTTGCTGTTTTCCTCTTCAAATACAAACCACAGTATTTTACATGCCTTTGAGACCATTCTCCTAGCCGTTCTATAAAGCTGAATTTTAAGTTTCTTTGATGGTATTCTGGATTTCACTTTGTTTTTTCTTTTCCATGTTTTTTCTCCTGCCTTCCATATTCTTTTAAAATGCTAAATACTAAATTTTAAACTGAGAATAAGGTATGTAGTTGGTTTTGAACTGATTTGTTTTAAATCATCACTGAGAGCAACATGTGACACAGTCAAAGTAATTTCATCAGTCTTGTAGGCTAGAGCGAGATAATTATGTACATGGTTACACATGTGAACCTCTTCTCTGTGAATGGATTGAGTGCTCTACCCCTGTGCTATAGTGTGGTCCTTCAGTGATGCCAAAGTGTCAGCAGTCATTAAAAGAGAAACAGTGCTTGGTTATTCCTAGAGAGACAGGTGTCAAATATATACTCCGTTTCATTATATTTTTACTCCTTTTGTGAGAGGACAATTATTTCTCCTGTTCCTTCTTATTATTTTAGCTGAAGAAAATCAGCTTTATTTTTAATGTCATTGTGCTGTATTTTCTGTTTGCCTTGCTAGAAAATTTTAGTAAATAAATATATATATATATATATATATATATATATATTAGCAGTTTAATATGCTAAACAGTAAGGAAAGAAACTTTTTGTTTCTTACTTATGCTTAGATTCTCCTAAAACCATGTTTTGGGAGAAATTTATGAAGTATCTGATGCTTTTTTAAAAGCTTATAGTTACAAGGCTTGCTAATGTAAGCACTTGGATGATTCTTGTTTTTGTCCCCTGAGAGAGGAGTTCACAAAAAGTGGTGCATTGTAAATCCAGCAGAATAAAAACAAAGAGCTGTTTGTGGCAGAGATCTCATTTATTAAGTCTTTTTGTAAATACAGTTCAGCACTCTGTTTTTCATTCTCTTTCTTGAAATAATCTCATGTAACTATCTCGATTTCAATACCAATTTCAGAAAATTATGTTTTCAGTTTTATGAACAAGAAAAGGTACTATGAACTGTTTTTTTCTTTGTAATGATAGTATCTGTAAATTATTCTGTGATGTTTAAAGTGATGATAAATAAATAATGATCTTTGTGTTTTCCTGTATACCAATAGATGTAGCAGGTGCAATTCTCTTATGTCCATATGAACATGCTGTGGATATGCAAACCAATGAAGTTGTACTACTTATTGCTTATTTTATTGAGTTTGATTTTTGTTTTGCTTCCTTTTTCAATGTGATTACTGAAAATCAGACTGCACCTTCATTTCAGATGTTTCATCTCTAACAACCTGAAGCACAAACATTTCCTTTTGCAAACTTTAATGTAATTTAATCTGTTAAATATAGATCTTCATCTGATCCAACTGGAAAATCTCTGGGCTTGTTACATGTGTTGAGTCTTCAGTTCTCTAAAGTGGTGCTGTATGCTGTTGATTGTCTCTGAAGATCAGCGAGTTTTTCTTAGGCAGTAGTTCATACACTTTCATGGTTTTGAGTCTGTTTTTCTTTCCTGTATTTCAGTTTTCCAATTTGACACCGAATTCTACGTCAGTGGACTTGCACCTCTCTGTGACCAGCTTGTTATACTTTCATATGTAAAGGAGATCTCCGAAAAAACGGTAGTTTTTTTTATCTCAGAGTTTCTTCACAACATTAATTTGGCCTGTGAGTTGGGCCTTAAACTAGTCATACAAATATGATTATCTGAGAAAAAAACTGTAGTCTGCTGGTAGTCAACAGTGAAACATCTCTGATCCATAAAACAAGGTCAGTGGAGGTGATGTTGAAGACTAATGTACTTACCACTCAGAAATCATGTTGGGTTCCTTCTTTTCTTGCAGAATGCAGAGAAGGTCTCTAGCTAGTCCTTCTTGCTCTTTTTTTCCTTCCTCCCCCCCCCCCCCCCCCTTCCTTTTCTCTCCTTTTCTCTCTTCCTGATGTTTCTGCACCAGAAGAAATAAAGAATCTTGTTTGGCCATAAGAGGAGCTTGCTGACACTGCATCTCAAAAGAAATGAGTAGGGAAGTTGATCAACTCAAGCATAAGAGTGACTGTGGAGTGGAATGAATGATTGTGAGTGAGTGGCATCATTGTCTCCCGTTCTTCTAAGATCTTTAGTTGCGTACACCCAGATCCATGTGTGGAGAGGTAGAATTCAGAATTCTTGTCAGCCGTTTTTACTGTGCATGGACAAGTGCCGTGTCTGTCTCCAACATTGATTTTGTACTGCCAAATAAAAGGCAAGGCAGTGGAGGAAATCCTTGAAGCTGCAGTGTGAGAATGGCAGATGCTCTTGATCATCTCTTTGATAAGCATGTCTGCATTAGACAACCATCACCATAGTAACCTTAAGAAACTGGGTGCACGAGTTGCTAGGCAATGAAATGCTGTAGGTTCAAACAAATGCATAAGTCTTCTGAAATCAGTGGGGTTAGCTTCTAGTTCTACTTCAGGATGTCAGATTATTATTTCTTTATTTATATTAAGGAGAAAAATAGTGTCACAGCGATGTTTCCCAAAAGAGACAGCACAGTGTGGGAGAGTCAGTGAAAGACAAGAAAGCAGACAGATGGGAAAAGGAGGGGGGAGGAAGAGGTGGGTGAAATGCTAGGGAGCAAGGAAATTGGGACACCACTGTTAATGAAAAAGTAGCACAGGAAAGGAGCTAGTGTAAACAAGGTAGTGACTGCTAAAGGTTAAAGTCATTTTAATTGCTTTAGGAAAGAAAGATGAAAAGGGAATTTCAGGTGCTATAATGGTAATTGAACATAGGAAAAAGTTTTTCTCATGTATTTGCTTTTAATTAGCCTTTTAAACAAACTCCAAATGCTGGACTTCACTAACTTCTCCGTTCTCTGGGTAGCTGTAGGAGGAACAGAAGTACAATTGTCCCTGATGGTGCATCTGTGTCCTGTTGTGATGGGAACTCCTTTGTTAGTGTCTTGGTTCACTTGTCTTGTTAGTGTGGAGCCCAAACTGCCTGAGCTTGCAGCAGAATTGCTGCTCACTACAAAAGTGTCCTTTAGTTGCAAGGAATACTTGTCTTCCTACACTTGATTTCACAGCTTGCAAATGACGGCTTCTTACTTATTACAAATTATATCACAATTGAACTTGCTTGGAAAGTTTTTTTGGTTTGGGTATTTTTTTCCTGGAATAGTTAAATTGAGAAAAGACCCAAGTGGTGCTACTTCCAAATGAGTAAGTTAGAGCTGTTTAAATCCACTTTCTAGATGTTCTTGGTCTTTTATTCTATATTTTGCTATAATTCACAGCCTGAAGTAGAAAGCTTCAGAATTGTCTTGGACCTTGACTTAATTAAAAATACAGCTAGTTGAGGACAGCAGTTTCACTTGAACAGAAGGTGAAAATCCATTATGTCATTTTACCATAGCCACCTACATTGCGCTTGAAAGTTCATTTTACTCTAAGTTCATCAGAACAGCAAAGTTTTTGTATTATGCTCAGATTAATTTTTCCCTGCTGCTGCTGGCTGCCTAAAATCAAGTACCAGCTTAAAAAAATATATATATATATATTTTAATACCAGAATACCAGGCTCATAGAGCTCTGTCCTTCAGGGCATGAGCCCAGCTGGGTATGTGATCTAAATTTTCTGTTGCTTGTTGAATGAAGCAGTTAATAATCATCTGTGATGACCCAGAAAACTTCTGTGTCCAAGAGCACAGAAGTGAGCAAACTCAAGGATTGGACCTATGTCTATCTATACCTCCTCTTCCAGACTGATCTCCTTCAAGGAAAGCAATCAAAGAGTAACTTGGGTAACTTGGAGTAACTTCCCTCTGAGTTCCAGATGCAATTGCTCTGTGGAGTGCAGCTTTGCAACTTATAGGATTTGCAGCTGAGTAGCCAGTGCAAAGTACTGCATGTTTGTGAATGTTTGCAGCTGTTCAATTTCAGCCTTGTTTCTAGATGACCACCTGTTGGTATTGCTAAGGTAAATCATGTAGGAAGTGACTAAGGTGTCATTTTTCTAGGAAGTGGAGTGTTGTGCAAGGCCTAGACTTGATATTGTACAACCCCTGCCTGAGTCCTGTGAAGAGATCTCTTCTGATGCACTAACAGTACGAGGATTTCAGGAAAATGAATGTCGTGATTATCATTTAGGTAGGTATTCTCAATATTGCTTTGTTTTGTTTTCAGACCTGCTTAAAAAAAGATTTGGGTGTACTTAGCCTCCCTTTTCATTTTTATGTCATTTTTTTGTCATCTCCTTGAACAGCTGTAACTGCTTATGACACTGAAGTGTAGAGTGGAAATCCACAAGAACCAGTCATATGAAAGAAAATAAATGTGTGTATTTAAACATTATGATTTTAATGCCATCTATTAGGTCAGACATACTGGAGAAGGCAGAAGTATATACCTCATGTAATGTCCAGTATTGTCAAAGGCAATATCTTTGAACAAGATTTATTCAACATATGATTCATAGGAGCTCTTTTTACACAAGGTGCTTCAGGAATAATGAAATGAGGGCACAATGTCTGGAAAAGCTGCTCTAGAGGGAAAGATTGAATAAGTATCATTGCAACAGTAAGATGTACATGGGTCAACTTAAAAGGGGCCCATTGATATTTAGCTTCTCTGTACTGACAAAGCTGCCAGTTGTATTACAGACCTCAAATGGTAAAATGGAATTAATAGGAACTGTATTTTGGCAAGCTCCACCTACAGGATAGGTTTAATTATGCAACAGGAAGGGACATTAAGCCCTGCCACAATATATGCTGTCTTTTAAAGATGAGGTAGTTTTCTGATCTATGTGTTGTAGCTCAGAAAAATGCATGGCAAAGCTGATGCAGAATTCCTTGGTGAAGATTATGTAGCCTGTCTTATACAGAAGCATTTCTTCTGGCTTTTAAAATCCATTAATCTGAATTTTAAGTATCTCCTCTGCCAGCATTCTTCAAATCATAGGCTTGGCAAACCTCTTTGTGTACATCTATGCCCTTAAGCCACTAGAAATATAGTATATTTCCTCCTGACCTCAAAAACATCAATGCTGCTATCAGTAGAACTGAGGTTTTTTGTACATCTTCCAAAGCAGAACATTGATGTCCACAGCTGTACTTTTATGCTTTATGAATATTCTAGTTTACTTGAAAAGTCTAAATGTTATGTATGTTTTAAGGCAAGCATTATTTTGTGAATTGCTTATCACTTCAGGAGTGTATTTGTATGTGTTTATAGAAACTCATCTGGACAGTGAGTGGTTTTCTTTTCTGTACCTACAAAGTATTCATGTTTCTTCATGGCTCTGTCCAAATGATAACTATTTAGAGCAGTCATCTTTTGCATTTGATTTGACCTTTTAGTACTTTTTCTTTCAGCTTACTCAAAAATAAAGGCTTATGGTGTAAGAAAATGCATTATACATATAGCCTTATCTTGCAGCATTGTAAATGCATTGCTGTAATGATGTACTGTGTCCCCAGGGGTTATGGCATCTATCATTTATGCTTTTGATGGCCTTGACCTTGATGGGAAGGATAAGTTTATTGCAGGCTGTGTAGTGCAATAGTCCTCTAAGAGTATAATAATGGGTTCTAAACTATCATAAAGTTTGCACATAGTGGATGAATCAGAATTTGCAATAAGTTGTAGTGGTTTTTTAAAATATATTTAGCCATTTAAACCAGTTTTAATTTATTGGAGAATACAGCATCCAAACTAGTGTGTCCTGCAGGAGTAGCCTTGCTGTCTTCCTCTTTGTAAATTCCCCTCAAGGGTATGCTAAAAAGCAGAACTTTACTTAAAGAAAATATAGTAAAAAATATTAAAACTGTGTATGCATTTGCAGAGTATTCAGAAGGTGAATCGCTTTTTTATATCATCAGCCCAAGAGATGTGGTTGTGGCCAAAGAGCGGGACCAGGATGATCACATTGACTGGCTTCTTGAAAAGAAGAAATACGAAGTAATTTTTACATCATTCTTTCCTTCAGACTTTCCTTGTTTGGAAATTGGAGTAGGATGATGGAATTTGCTAAGTCATTTGGATTGGATATTTCTGTTCCTACAGTGATTGAGCAAATGCTTGTAAAGGATGGGACTTGACTATGCATTACTCCATCTCTTACAGAGTTAGTCTCACTACTGAAACAACTCATCAAAATTTCACTCAAGTGAGGTAGTTGAACTAGATGCTGAAAATACTGCTCTCATCATCAGTTATAAAATGTATTAGCTGACACTGAAAATTATTAGATCTGGATTTTGGCTTTAGAATAGCAGAAGAGTTAACTAATGAGCTGTGCTTTTAAAAGTAAAATATTATGGTCTTAAACTGTGCCTGCACTTGCTGAAAGTAGTGTTGCTCACAATAAAGCTCATCCAGTATTAAAAGACAAAGGTATACAGCTCTCTTGGAAAAAAAACAGCTCACCATTTGGTTGTGTAAATACTGATGTTTGAGTATGCATATCTAAACACCTAAAACAGTAATAATAAGTTCTTTCATACCATATGAACACACACACAGTGGTCTGAATTCTAATATCATGTACTTATTGACTTAGAATATTTGTTACGATGCATAAAGTTAACTTGCAAATTCTAATTTATGTTTGTTGTGTGCCCATTAGAAGAAAAAAAAATGTGGAAAAGCCATTCAGCATGTATTGCTTTTGCTAATATAATCATGATATTTCTCATGCAGATTTGTTTAATCCTTGTGGATGCTTTTCCATTGGAATAGCAAACTTGTATGATGAGTGTAGTTTTGCAATATATGTAAATCACAGCATTTGGTCCCTGAAGACTCCAGTAATTTGCAAGTGACAGCTGTGTGTGTGCCTTTATGAAAGCCATTCAAGTTAGTAGACAGGCCTGTTATGATATATCTTAAAGGTTTCATTTTTATTTGTAAAACTGCCTGATTTTTTTCTATACATTCAAAAAAAATAGAAGGAGGAGAACAGCAAATGACACTTAAATATAAATCATTCTGATTGAAGAAGACATTTGGGCTGGGGAGCTGGCAGGTAGCTTTCCCCATTCACCCCTTTTCCTGTTTATTTTTTTCACAGGTTTTGGTAGTGAAGTGGTCTCTTTTGAAAATGATCAAATGTGATTGCATTGTGTGGTTTGTTGTGATTTGATCTTAATATAATAATGTGGAGTGAACCCAGATGGAAACAAAAGTAGTTTGCTCTTTGCTTGACTGCTTTTGTTTGGGTAGGAATTCAAAGCTGTTCATCCAACCATGGCATTAAAAATTCTAGTGCTTCCAACACCCTACTATGAAAAACAGTTGATTTATACAGTTCTCGATCTTTCTGTATTGAAAGTTTGTGTATGTGACTGGTATCTTGGTTTTCTCCTTTTTGAATATAGGAAGCTTTGATGGCAGCTGAGATCAGTCAAAAAACCATAAAAAAGCACAAGATTTTGGTAAGTCTCAAAACTTATATTCAAAATATAGTATCCACTTTCTTTTAGAATGCCATAAGATGCAACAAATACATTCCCTGTTTTTTATAACACCAGGAAATAACTGTTAGGCATTCTCCAGCTGGCATCCGATTTCTTGGTTTCAGCTGTTAGTCCATAAAACATGAAAGAATCTGCATTTTATGAAGGTGCTATTGGCATTGAAAGGAAGAGAATTCCATTTCTCTGATTACTGATGGGAATTTTTGTTTGCTTTTACTTTTGTTTGAAGTAACACACAGTATTTCACTATTAGAGATTGCAGGCAGGAGTGACAAATATCTCCTGAACTTTTGCCTCGTAAATGTGACAGGATTTTGTAAAAAGTTTAAGGGATGCTCCTTTTCTCACATATAGTTATTTCCTATGTTTATAGTCCCTTTCACAGAGCAACAAAGGGTATCAATGTTTAAAACAAAAGGGGAAATGGTGTAATAGACACAAAAGTGTCACTGATTTTATCTTTTGTTTCTTTGCTTTTGTTTAAATTCACTGATACTGATGCTGCTTTAAATTGAAATCTGTACAAAATGTTCAAGATGTGTTTAATTTTTTGGCCAGAGTACTGGTGTTATAAGCATGCTGTATCTCAGTATGTCTTAAAAAGTTTACTCTTGTGTACTCCAGAAGTTCAATCAAGATTTAAATGGCATGCCATTACCTATCACGGAGTTTGCATTTAACAAAACTACTCTGTGGGCCTTGCAAAAGATGTAAAGAGTTAAAGGGGATCCTGGCAATGCATTAGGAGGAAAAAAAGAAAGCCAGACAGGCAAACACCAAACTAAGTAAAGAAACCCCACAGCTTTTCTTTTGCTTTGCAGAAATTTGCTCTGCAATAAATGATTAAATTCAGTGAAATACAAGCAGTTTTTGAGATTTTAGTGTCTAAAGCAAAAGCCAACAGAATGTGTTGAGGAAACAAAATGTTGACATCAAGCCCTAAGTGAAGGATTAGTGGTACACTGATTTGGAACAACTCATGCTCTCACTGCCTAGTGACACCACATTCAGAGTACCTGACAAGTCTGGTAGCCTTGGGGATTTTTTAGATGGAAGTAATTATCACTGCTCCTCTGCACATCTTGAGCAGAGCACCGAGATCCTAAAACAACCAGATCTACATCTCTTTTCTTTAACCATCTTCTCTGTTCACTGGGAGGCTGGTCCACAGGAGAATGACGATTTCTGTCAGCCTCTTTCTTGAGAATGGTGAAGTTGAAAATACAAAGGTGTTCTTATAGCATAATGAAATCCTAAAATCTTGTGTATGTGCATTTTTTTTCTAACTTTGTAGTAGATTGACCAGCTGAAGTTGTTGCATACCCCTATTCATATTCTGCCATGGTCAATTCTTTCCTTGATATGGATCAAAGAAATGTTGTGCCTCAGAAGATGCAAATGTTTAATTTTTTTAAGAAACAAGGGCTTCTTTTTCATTGTGCAGCTTTATTTTTTTCTTTTCTCCTCTTTTTTTTTTTTCTTTCTAAAAACAATGTGCTTTTTTTAGTGATGTGATCATAAGCTATGCAATCAGTACACTGGGCTATGTCAAAATGGGTATGAGTGTTGAGATTACATTAGGAGGTTCATGCCAAAATTGTAATATATATTAAATGCATATGCATATCGGAAACGTTTTACAACTGACCTGTGTGATGAATTTTGAGAAAGAAAATTTGGTATGTCATAACTAATAATCTTGTTAAGTTCTCAGTAATTCCTGCACTTTATTGAGCAGCATTAGGATTTATATTCTCAACCAACTTTTTGCCCTCCTCTGCAAATTGTTTTGACAAAGAGCATGTCTTATACAATGACTGGTGTCTTTCTTTTTGAATTAATTCAAGCACAGCAAGATCAGCTATGTGTTTCAAACAATCCTTAATAATTAGAGGTGGTAGTCTTCTCAGCATCAGTGAGGTTATGAGAATTATTTAAAGGAGCACCTTTAGTTAATACTGTGAGCAGTCTATGCAAGTATTTTGTATTGACTGTTCTGTGGGCCCTACTGGTAAAGGAGAATCAAGGAATGCACTTAGAGCCTTGAATTTCCAGTTGTATGCACTACTGTTACAGTAGTTCTGTATAGCAGTCAGGTAGTTCACTTCCAAACTTTTATAGCTAATTCTCTGTTTTCATTTGCTCTAGGACATTGGCTTAGCCTATATAAATCACCTGATGGAGAAAGGAGAGTACGACCTGGCTGCTCGGTAACCTAGTATTAAAGATCTTCCTTGCTGGCTGAAGTGTGTCTGTGTAGGGAAAAGTGAAAACAAACTTTTGATTCTGAAGTATTTGCAGATGTTGAGTTTCTGTGTTCTGGAATTTCTGAAGTTTCAAAACATAGAGATGTATTGCAGTGACATATATTTTTTCCCTGTAGTTACCTAAAAGTTGCTGTAAATTTTAACTGGAATTGAGGCATATATTTTTGAAAGTAAGCCTTGATTTTTCAATGTCACACTAGATTTTCAAGACTAAGGTTTTCTTTGCATTTTTATAAACTCAGTTTATTAGTGTGTCATTGGACATAAGAGCATCAGAAAATAATTTGATTTTGTGTAGGTATAAACAAAAATGTCAAATATGGGAATCTAAAGTAAGGATCAGAAATTACCCAGGGTTTTTGTTTTCATGTACATGTAAGCATAAGCATATCTTCTCAAGTGTTCAGTTTTTCTCAGGTGAAATTTAAAGACTTTATTTTTAAATTTAATTTAATGTAACTTAATTTAATTTAAGGATATTAAAGACTCATAAAGCTGACCAAGAGGGTGGCATCTCTGTCTATGGTGTATAGATTTCCACTAGATGTTGTTTAAGCTCCCTTCCAATCCAAACAATGCCATGATTCTATGAAAGCTAATATGGCCCTCAGCACTATGGGTGAATGCATAACAAGCAGTTAATCCTCTTGGATGCAACAAAATTTGCAGGAGGAGAGCCTGGCATACTGTACTTAAAGTGGTGGTTGCCAAAATAAGTCACTTTAACAAGTGTTATGATAGGGAGAAGAAAGGAATCCTTGTAAGTAATGCTGTCACATTTGTATTACTTTCTGTACCTACTTTTGTTCTCATCTCTTTCATTTTTCTTGCAGAAAGTGCCAGAAAATCCTTGGCAAAAACACAGAACTCTGGGAATTTGAAGTTTACAAGTTTAAAGAAATAGGTCAGCTTAAAGTAAGTTAATTTCTGTGTCTGCACTCAAGTAATTTATATGTTGTACTTACTGTTTGTATTGACCAAGTATCTAAAGCATCACATTTAATGGCCCTGTTCTGGTATTGCTGTCCCAGGTCTCTGTTTGTTTCTAGACAGCTGTCTTTCCGATTGATGTGTAAATTACTAAAACAAGATTGGAGGCATAGTGCTACATATTTTACTTGTTGGCAGTCTCCAATGTGAAAGACCCACCCCAAAGCTTTTACTTGCTAAGATGCTCACAGTTAAATACATCTTTCCCATTTACTTTTCATTCATTTCCAGTATGTCCTAAAAATACTACCCCAGGTATTAAGGAAAATAGACTCTGTGGGTGCCTGTCATTCTGGCAAATCCAGGTCCATTGCAACAGTTACACAGCTTTAAGTGTTAAAGAATTGCAAAGGAGCAGTGAAGACCTGTGCTGTGTGCTAGAAATGGTGGTGAGGAAGAGGAGCAGTCTGCGCTGCCTGGTGTTTTCCCTAGTCACAAGCCAGCTACTACAACAGTACACATTTAATGTGAGAGTCTCAGTTAATAAATTGCACAGGACATAAAACCTAGTACTGTCACTGCTAAACCAATTGAAAACTTTATGCACACTCCCTTTGGTAACATGTGTACATTTACTTCTGAATTTTATGTCTTCCTATTCAAACTCAATGAGCCAAAAAGGACATGCTATTAAGATCTCACAGCATGCAGTCCCTTGCTGGTTTTGAGCTATTTAATTCTCTTCAAAAACCAAAAGTGTTTCAACATTACGAATTTCAGAAATGTCTGACTTCAGTTTCAGGGCCACTCCAGTGCAAAAGCAGCCTTGCCTTTAGTATACTTTTTTTGTGGTTTGGTGCACTCTTTACTACTTGGAAGCTGAAATCCTATGTTTCTGTTCCTTTACTTCAGTCTAATAAAGGGCTTAAATGCAGGAACAGGTGAATTTTTGATACACTGCTTCTTCTTTTGGGTTCGTTTTGGTTTTTAGCTGCATATGTCTGGAAGGGATGTTTGTGTTGTCTCCACTTACATCATTCAGCAGACTGTAAAACAGAAAAATATTTGCAGGTTTGTTGCAAAAGCATCTCACCTCAATTACCGCCTTTCTAAACAATTGGCTGTTTTCAGCCTTTAGAATTTCTCTTTTCTTCTTAGAGCCTAGGCCCAGGCCTAAGAAATACATGAGATGCTGTCCATTACATTATTCAGCTTCAAGTTGCAGTTCTAGAAAATGCCTGCCTTATTTCACTATTTCAGTTGCACATAACTTGTCCTAGATTTCTAAAGATGTCTGAGTATCATAAAGGATGCACTAAATTAGGCCAGATCTGAGTGAAGGGGTCCTTGTAATGCTTGGGATCACTGCTACATAACTAGCAGATATTTAACACCATATTGTAACTGGCCTATAATGGCTTTCAGCCCTGATGAGGAGACTATTGAGATATGGAAACAAAGTTTATTTCAAAACAGAATTGTCTTGGAATAGTTTGCACTGCTTATAAGTTGTTCCCTGAAATCTGGTGTTTCAAATCTAGCATGATTTGCCAATAACTAAGGTGACAGTAAACTAAAGGCTTCAAATTTCCTTCCTGTGCAGAGGAATTAGTGATACCCCAGTGTCAAATTCCACGGGGTGAGTATTGTTGTTTGTGTGTGATTTTAGGGGGGTTTTGATTGTTTTGTATTAAGCAGTCCTGTTTGGCTACCAAAGGTTGCATTTTGATATCTTGGTATCTCTCATCTTCAATGAATGTCCTCTAGGAAACCTAGTTGTGTCTGTTTCAAGATTCTAGAGCCTTGCAGTGATCTGTTCCTCTACTGCTCCAGCAGTGGTGGCTTGAGGGAGTTACATGCTTGTGTTGCCTTTTGCTCAACCTGGAAATGAAACTTGACATAATTTTAGTAAGGAGGTAATGTAAAAGAGAATCTTAATTTGAAGGCCTTCAGGAGCAGTTGTGGAAAGGTGTCCACAAAAGCCCACCACTGCCAGGATGAGTACAGATTTAAAGGTTTTAGGAAATTAGCATAATTTATAAAAAGCACCAGTTAGGAGAACAAGTGGTGATGCAATTCCCCTCAGGTCAAGCCTCTTTGGAGCCCCCCCTTCAGCACTGTGCTGTGTTCTATGAAATGTATCTCAAAGAGTTGTTCTCAGCCTTAGTTCCCAGGAAGAACCAAGAGGGCCTTGTACCTCCTGGGACTTGGACCTCTGGAATTTGTTTTTTCTTTTTTGCTTAGAAAGGCGATGGAAAAGTACTGGGAAACCTAGTCACTAATACAATAGGTGACAGAGTTACAAATATACACGTGAAGAATACAGAGAACACATGAAAGAAAAAAAGGGGAAACTCAAGTGGCGTCACTTGTGCTCAAGTCACTTCAGTATAAAAATCTAATGTCTCAGCTCAAGCAGCTGAGGAAGGTGGATGGATTCAAAGGAAGATTTCAAACTCTCTGGCTGTTGTGGCCTGAGGGATACCCTCCATTCTCTTTGCTGTGACAGCAGTGACTTTCAGCAGTGGTCCAGGATGATCAGCTAGCAGCAGCAGCACTGGATGGAAGACATTTGAAAGACTTCACCAGACTGTAGTGGGCATTGCAGAGAGAAGCACTATACTGACAGGCTCTTTCATCTCTTAGATAGCCTTTGAGGAATAAATAATTGATGTTCTGGTTATTGGTGAGATGGTTTAGGCTATCTCATGTACAACCTTTATAAGGGTTTTCTTATATATACCTCATCCTTACATTTATTGATGAAAAGTCTGAAAGCAGATCTTGAAAAGAAACAAGGGAAGAAAATATTTCTCTGTGTAGTATCCGTCACTTTACCACATAGTTCAAGAATTGGCACAAAGGCAGTCTGATTCAGAAGCTTTTATTTCTGACCATGCCCCCTAAGTGCAGCTTAAAAGTAAAATAGGAAGAGTTTGTAACCTCCAGCATGGGTAGCCTTTGTGTCAAGGCTTAAAAATAACTTCTATGCTTTGTACGTGCTTCTTGTATGCGTTCCTGAGCGGGGTGGTCAAACTGCAGGAGGTGGCTGTGTTTTTTCTTCAAAGCAATGGGACACAGGGCAGGAGACATTTCCTTCACAAGGCAGCCTGGCTCACACACAAGGAAACTACAACTCTCTAGAGCTTGCTGTAAGGCCAAACTACAGCCAAGAGTTGCAACAGTCTGTTGAAGAAGGTTGTTCATTCAGAAGGTAGCAGGAAGGCAGAAAGTGGGAGTGAAAACAGCCATTGGAGATTGTCTTCTGCCTTTGAGTATCCCGTTAATGTCTAGCTTCTAGCTTGCTTTCTCTATGGTCAAAAAAGACTTTTTATGAAGGGGTCAGGAATATACCCCATCAAGACTGTACCCTGAGATAACTGATAAATCCTGTGACAGCTAGTGGGAGCTGGGGTTGGCAGCACTACATTTCAAAAACTGGCCACATCCAGACAACACAGGGAGAGGAGAGGTCTAAAATGTAGGAAGATGTTTTTTTCTCCTGCTTTGTTCAAACAACTTCAGTAACAAAATGCTGTTGTACCATGTGCCAATAGCGGGCAATAGGCAACATCTCTGAGTGTTTGGAGGAGTTTCACTGGTGTTGGTCCCTCAGCTACAAACCCCAAGTCCCCAGACAGCTAGTAGCAGTGGGATTTATTTTGGCAGGTGGAAATAATCTTGGCCTCTAGTTGCATGGAATAGTAGTGCTAATTAGATGCTGTGCTGAAATTCCAGGATATGAGCTAATTTATTCTGGCAGCTTCTCATCTCTTGCTTGTGTGAAGGTCCGCCCGAAGTGAACGGGTGACGAATGATTTTTGGGTGCAAAAATAACCAACAAAGGCACAGGGGTTTGCAGTAGCAAATCAACAAGATGGAATTTATTGATAATAACCACAGCTAAATATGCATTGGTTAGAGGATCCGGGGAAGAGAAGGATAGAATAAGGAAAAAGGAAGGAAAGAAGGTCAGGGAATGGGGTATAGCTACCAAGACGTGATGCCTTCGGGGTCCCGCCGCCGATGCTCGCTGGTACACGTCTTGGGGAGACTCTCGGAGAGGCAGTCGAACCAAACCCCAGATATACTGTTCTTGGTTGGGGGAAGGGTGGCCGCAATTATGTTTCCATGGAGGGGAAAAGTCCATTGTTTTCATGGCCGAATGCTCCCAGGTACGTCTACTCTGGGCAGGTTCTCCCCCTTCCCTGAGTTGGGACGGGGTACAGTCCCAGTCTCTGGAAGGAGGTTGCCAGGGGGGTGCCATGGGGGTGCCAATAGGGTGCCAGAGGGGTTCTTGGTTCTTTGATGAGGGGGTTCGCATTTCAGTTGGTCTGTCACGGTGGTTGAAGACAGGCAAGAGGGGTCTTCTCTTGGAGGTGGGGGGAGCCACCCCAGAGCTCAGTCCAGCCAGGCCTGAAGTTTGGAAGAAAGTCCAGTTCCATTGTTCAGAACAGGGCAGCATGCCCCTTCGAGTACAGCATGGCATGTTCTGCAGACATCATCTGTAAACACACTAAATACGCATGAGACTTTCTTTCCCAACTGGCTCAACAGTTTTTAACCCTTCGGTGGTCTCATGACAATTGTGAGGCAAAAACTGAAGGATTTCCAGATGGACTTCTACAGCTTGCTGGAATGCAATTCCTTTACACCTTCTATACAGTAACAGATCACATGCCTTCATCCTTTTCATGGAGAGATACATTTTCAAATTAATTTTCAATTGGGTATGTTAAAATAGCCCTTCATAGAATGTGGTGACCCCAACATAAGTCATAATTCAAAATTACACATATATTGTTCTTGCGTGATCAGGTTCTGGTAGTGGGAGTGCTACAGTAGTGGCTTCTGTGAGAAGCTGGCAGAAGCTTCCCCCATGTCCATCAGAGCCAATGCCAGCCAGCTCCAGGATGGACCTACTGCTGGCCGAGATCAAGCCAATCAGGAATGATAGGAACACCTCTGGGATAACAGATATAAAAACAAAGAAAAAAAGTTCTTGCACAGTTGTAACTGTGACCAGAGAAGAACTGAGTTGATAAATATGAGAGAGGAAACAACTTTGCAGACACTAAGGTCAGGGGAGAAGGAGGATGAGGTGGTGATCCAGGCACCAGAGCTGAGATTGCTCTGCAGGCCATGGTGAAGACCATGAAGCAGCAGTGTCCCTGCAGCCCATGGAAGACAAAGGGGATGCAGAGATGCACCTGCAGCACGCGTAGGAGCCCATGCTGGACCGGGCTGTGCCTGAAGGACTGCATCCAATGGAAGAGTGGCCCAGATTGCAGCAGTTCATGAGGAACTGTTGCCCATGGGATGGATTCATGTTAAAGAAGTTTGTGGAGAGCTGTCTCCTGTGGGAGGGACCCCACACTGGAGAAGGGGAGACTTCTCTACCTGAGCAGCGAGAGAAGCAATGTGTGATGCACTGACAATCATTCCCTGTCAATCAATACCCATTCCCTGTCTCGCTGTGTTTTTGGGGTGAAGGAGGTAGAGCCCAGGAAGGAAGAATGGATGAGGGAAGGTGGTTTTGAGATTATTTTACTTCTTATTGTCCTGCTCTGGTTTGGTTATTAAAAAATTCAATTACTATCCAAAATGTGAGTCTGTTTTGCTATGATGGTATTTGGTGAGTGATCCCTGGATCTTATCTTAACCCATGAACCCTTTATTATATTTTTTCTCCTCTGCCCAGTTGTGGAGGGAAGTGAGAAAGTGGCTTTGTTGGGTACCTGGTGTCTGGTCAGGGTCAATCCACTCCAACACATTTTTCAGCTAATGAATCCTTATACCTTTTTGCAAGGCTAAGACTTAACAAAATGGATTTTTAAAACATTCTTGTTTTGAGGGGTCTTTTATGGGTTTTGTTTTCTAAATGACCGCTGATCTCTTAAGGACATGGCTGATTCTCCTATTCTAATTAGTATCTTGCCACCTGTCTCTTGATAGTTCTTTCAAGTGAGTTATAAAATTCCAGTGTGTATAATCCTAAAGTAAATAACTTCTGAGTGCTGCTTGCAAGTATGAGTTGATAAGGTTTCTAGTGATTACCAGGGGCCATGTTTTGTGTATAACCTTGTTCTTTTGTTTCATGACTTTTTTTTTTTTTCAGTGTACCAGGACGTTACATGTCATTCACCATCTGACACTTTATTCTCTTTTTTCCTATAGGCAATTAGTCGTTACTTGCCAAGACGAGATCCAGTTTTGAAACCTCTGATCTATGAAATGGTCCTGCATGAATTTTTGGAAAGTGACTATGAGGTATTGCAGCCTGATGTGTTCCACATCAATGTGTCCCATAGTTATTGCCAGCCAAATACCCTTAGCGTTGAAGAATTCTGACAGCAAATTCTCTGATGTATTCAAACAGATTATCAGTGCACAGTTCCACAATAATGACAATATTTAAGTGTTGAATTTTAATTTTAAGAGAATAAATAAATGTTCTTCAAAGCATGTGAATACTGTAAGATTGATTATTTATTAGACTGTTATTTTTAGGTTTTTAAATGTAGCATAAGTGGTTGAGATGATGCACAAAGCCTACCGCACCTGAAAGACACTCAGCTTCATGAATCATAATAACATTGTCCTAAGAAGGAAAAATCTGTGTTCTGCACTGTACATGTCTGTGGGCACATGAAAGTTCCTTAAAGGTTAAGGACAGCAGGTATCATCTCAGAGGCTTAGATGAAGCTTTGATGTTTTGAAATGCTCCTTAGGCCATTCTTTCTATTTCTTTTACAATCTCTTATACTTTTAGGGGTTTGCAACACTAATAAAAGAATGGCCTGGAGATCTGTACAACAACACAATCATAGTTCAAGCTGTAGTGGATCACCTGAAGAAAGATCCACAGAACAGGACTTTGCTACGAACACTTGCAGAATTGTGAGTCCAGTTTTAAACTCCTGTTACAAAAGTACACTTAAAATAGTGTACTGCAGTTTATTTGTATTTGTTTAGCTGTCTTCTTTGCTGCATCTACAGAGTGGTGGCTTTCTCTCCTCTCCACTCTGCTGATTGCACAGCTTAGCAATTCTTTACCCTTCCTTGTAATGTTCACATCGAGTATGAAAGCAAATTGTTAAGCATGAGATTGGATTTCCAACTCCTCTTTCCAAAGTAAATAATTAACATTCCTCTACATGCTGTCAGAGGAAACCTCTTTTCTGAGGTGCACATTTCAGAATTACCCATGTAAAAATAAAATGGTGGGGGATTTTGCCCACTATTTAAGAAGTAGCGTGTTTAGGTTTACTGCATGGATGGAAATATGTGACTGGAAAATGTGCCAAAACTGATCTGATTCTTGGTCACTTCGTACAGGGATAAAGCTCTTTGATTTTCTCAGCCTGATCACTGTGTTATTTTCTCTCTCTTCTTTGAAAAAAGAAGAATTACTGTGTTACAATCTGTCCAAAAGTTCTAAGAGAACAATGTTTTTTAAGCTCTGAAGAATGTTCCAGTTGGTTTCCAATAATTGAAAGGCTAGCATTTTGTGTGTCTTCCCCTGTGAGTTGAAAATGGAGAATGAAAATGGAAAAACTGCAGTCCAAACACAAATGAAGGCCAATATAAACAGAGGTGAAATTAATGTTGCCTGATGTTTATTTTCCCTTACAAAAATGAATCACAGGTCTGTTTAGATATTTATAAATTCAAGTGGTATCCTAACATTTTACATACTAGAGTATGTTTATATTTTCTCTCGTAAGTGATTTTCCTACACTTAAGTATGTAATATTGCATGTTTTATAATCCTGTTTCTACCAGGTACACTTACGATCAGCGGTATGGCAGAGCCCTAGAAATCTACCTAACTCTGAGGCACAAAGATGTCTTCCAGTTGATCCACAAGCACAATCTCTTCAGTTCTATTAGAGACAAAATTGTTCTGCTCATGGATTTCGATTCAGAGGTATAGTGATCCTAATGATTTTATATTCACTTTCCTCTAAATACAATTTAACAGATTAAAACTAAATGATCTATAGATGATGTTGAGCTAGAGAATGTGTTTGCTACATCTGGATACATTCTGGGATAAGGAAGATTGTTTGCCTAGATTGCAAAATAATTGACCCAAGGATTATTTTTTTCCTTCATATTTCCATTTGTGTTTCCTTTCCATTTCCATTTGTCACTCTCAGTGAGAAAAGTGAGTGTTCGCATCATTTGAGAACGTTGTTGTGATTCTCAAGTCACAACATTGAATATCATTTCACACAGAGTATCATTTCACCATATTATTCTTTCTGTATTTTGAATCAAATAATGGTATTAATAAGCCAAAGAAAGGAGATAGTGAATTTATTTAAGCATATATTAAATGTACTTGCCATTTCCTTTCACCACAGAAAATTAATCTGCTTCTGAAATTTTACAAGGTTATCGATCTTAATTCCAAAAATCAGAAAGTTTTTATTCCATGCTGAATTCTACCTTTTTTCTTTCCAGCTGGCTGTAAAATCCAAGCAAATTAATTTTGGTGTGATCACTGGGAAGATAACCAAGTAGATCTCCTTTTTCAGTGCAATAGTTGTTTAAGCACTGTAGCTAAAATATGGATCTCTACTGTTGATGATCATCTTTAGTATGCCCATGTTTCTCCACTCATGGAGGGAAAAAAGTATAATTTTTCTTTAATTCAATAGAAGAAGTAGTATCAGGAATCTGTAGTTTGGTATTTTTTGAAAGTGAAGCAAAAGTTTGCTCTTGAAAGAGGAAGCAGAACCTGAATCCTGGTGGCCACTTGACTTACATGATCTTGTCTGCTTGATTAATGGTAGTGGTCTCCAGGTAGTTTGGAGGAATCCAGTTGTGAGGCAGGTTGAATTGTGTGTTTCTTACGTAGTCATCACCCTGCAGTTCTCATCGTTTGGCGATAGCTTTTTGTGACTGATGGTGATTCAGTGGGCATACTTCACCTGCAGTGTAGGTGCACAGCATTTACTGCTATTAATGAGGGAACTTAATGAAGTATTCTGGAAGAATTTCTGTTGCTGAAAAGAGTAGGTCTGTCCATCTGACACCCGTCTGTGAATAAGCATAATACTATATAGAGGGTAAGAAAATATGTGTGCCTGTTACCTACTTGAGTTCTCTTTCTCTGTTGTAGAAAGCAGTAGACATGCTTTTGGATAATGAAGATAAAATTTCCGTGAGTATAACAAGTTTATGGCATGGCAGTCCAATGCCAGCTTTTATTACCTGTCCTTTTTCCAGTCTTGTAAATGTGATGTTTATCACAGGTTTGTTTTGTTTCAGATTGACAGAGTTGTTGAAGAGCTAGAAAACAGGCCTGAGTTACAGCATGTGGTAAGTATTCCTGTATTCTGTTGATTTGAAGTTGAGCTGAGTAAACTCTTGGCTGGACTTACCTTTTACAGGTGTGTTTATTTTGTCAAAATGAACCTGACACTGAAATGTCTTAAATCATCAAAGTGGCTATTCTGCCAATTTCCTATTTAGCATAGCTATACCTTCTTCACAGTAGTTAAATGATCTAAAAATGTGTACCTGTGAGAATTTGATAACGTAATGCAGGCTTATTTACATCTCCTTATAGCATTGTAGGCGCTTGTCTTTCCTGGTCAATTATTTCTTGTTTTTATTCCTCCTTTTTCCCTACCCAAAAATGGGATTGGTTGGTGGGTGCAGATCTAAAATACGTTTTGCTGATCCATAGAGAAAGTGAATTGCTTGTTTTTCTGGAGCTGTAACTTCATACACTGTCGAATTGTTTTTGTTTGTACAGAATAACAGTATCACTGTAATCACATAATATGTGACTGTGGGCTTGGGCTGTATCAGGGAAGTTTAACTTGCTGCTGATTACAGATAGAGTTCAGGTGTTCATCTGGTGATGAGATGATTTATGAGTTAGAGACCTGATTATGGGAAGCAGATCTATGAAAAGTGCAGTCCACAGCCTAAGATCTTTGCAAAGGCAACTGACAGACTGTCAGTTTACAGAAGGGATGCATACAGAGGAAGGCAACAAAGATGGTGAATGGTCTAGAGGAGAAGCCGCACAAAGAGCAGCTGAGTCACTTGGTTTTGTTCTGCCTGGAGAAGAGGAGACTGAGGGGAATCCTTGTAGCATTTACACTTTCTTCACAAGGGAAGCATCAGCAGGCATAATCTCTTCTCCGTTGATTGTGACAGGACCCAAGAGAACAGCATGAAGCTGTGTCAGGGGAGGTTTAGGTTAGATGTTAGGAAAAGCTTTGCCCCCTGCAGTGACTGTGCACTGGAACAGTCTTCCACTCTGGGGAAGTGGTCACAGCATCAAGCCTATCTGAGTTCAAGAAGCATTTGGACAATGCTCTCAGGAACATGGTGTGGTTCCTGGGGCTGTCCTGTGCAGGGCAAGTTGGAATTTGATTATCTATGTGGCTCCCTTCCAACTCAGGAGTTTCTGTTATTCCATTAATAATATTGAATAAGTGAGTTTGAATTCTGATTCTTTTTTGATTCCTAGTATTTACACAAGCTTTTCAAAAGAGACCACCATAAAGGCCAACGATATCATGAGAAACAGATCAGTCTTTATGCTGAATATGATCGACCAAACTTACTTCCATTTCTCAGAGACAGCACACACTGCCCACTGGAGAAGGTAAGCCCCAAAAATCTAAGCATAAGTCCTTGATTTTTATTAAGGTCATGGTCTGTAGCTTGTAGTCTTGTGAATTTCAAGCCGTGTCTGGTACTGCCCTCTACTGCCAATGTGAGGGATCCTTTAAGTTTGTGACGATCATCTGCCGTTTGGTTTGCAGAGCTGATGACAGCTGAGACTTTCCTCTCTCAGCTCACAGGGCAGAAATTCATGGGTATTTTTAATGCAGAAGTTCTGACTACAGCTCTGACTACAGTTCTAGCTACAGCATATCTACTCATCAGTGCTTAGCCTCACTGAACAGTAGGTTATTGAAATTGAAATTGACAATCAATTGAAAATAAATTGACAATCATTTTGCCACATCTAAGAGCTGTCAGTGTTAGATCTTGAAAAACCAGTAGCTGTAACTGTAGTTATTCTATCTTTTTATTGTAAGGTCATAAGTTTCTGTTGAATAATATACACAATATATGTCACTGAACTAACAGGGCTAAAAGTGTTTTGTCTTTGTAATTTGGCTAATACACTTGAGGATTTATAGAGTACCAGGTTTCCATCTTCTAATATTATTATTTTTTTTTCTGTTTTCCTTCCTTGCTCTTTCTTGTCAAATTACAAAATTCATAAAGGTAAGGCCAATCATGAGTTGTTTTCCCTGCCTGAATTAATGTGAAACAAATGGAAATTTTAAATTTTCTGGTTTAGATGGGTCAGTATTTTATTATTTGTATTTGTTGCTGTTAATGGCTGAGCAGAGCAGACCTTGCCTATCCATATGCAGCTATAATGATGACACAGTTTTCAAGTGTAATATTGTATGTTGTACTACATGGTTAACATTCCAAAGAAAACTAGTACTGTTCCTGGTACCTCTCTTGTTTTGCATGCTTTTGTCTACTGGAAAATACGTTCTTATATTATTATACATTCTCAGATTGGAGAACTGGGACTTGGTGAAACCTATACCCGAAAATAGATTGAATAGTTTAGGCAGTGAGCCTGAGAGGTTTCCAGCCAGGAACTTTGGTCTACAATATTGGCTTACTTGTTTTCAATTTTACGATTCTTAGTTTCTTACCTTATGTGTTATTCATGTGATCATGGTTTTATGTATAAAACCTTACCTGCATTTTTCTTTAATTTTGAGGCAAATTAATTTTTGTTATTGCATGTCCAGCCTCCTATCTTTAGTGGCAGGTGGTGCAGAAAAGTGCTGTGTGAAACTGATGCTCATTGCTGGCATTACTTTGCTGAAGATACAGGCTTTGAGCAAGAATAGGTCAGAGACAAGTCAGCTTCTGGAAGGTGTGGTGCAGTAATCAACAAAGTCAAGAGAGATTGTCAGAAAAAATGTGTAATTCTAACCTTAATATTAAAATGTTAACATCTTTCAGTAAGAAGCTAAGGAAGAGACAAAAAGATGCTATGAATTCTGTAATTATACTTCTTACCATGCATGCTGTATAATAACACTTCTTGTGACATACAGGTCTTTGTTCTGAGAAATTGAAAAGGGGACTAAGAATTTCCCAGTTACTACTATTTTCACTTCCTGTTAAGTGTATAAATTGCAAAAAGCAATTTCTGTTTGAAAAAAAATCTGCTCTTTTTATTGTTCTAATGAAATTATAAACTCATCAAGAAGAAATAATTTGTGGTCTCTAGAAGTAAGCCACTTTTAGTCAAGTGCAGTTTAGCAAACATTTTAAAAATGAGCTGGAAGAGAAGTAGGAATGTTCCCTGTTTTCCTCTAGAGGGAGCATGACAGTCAGGAAATGGCAGTATCTAGAACTACTGAATACCTGGTGCTTTGCAGTTTAGCTTTTAAGTGGAGAGGAAAAAGAGGGCTGTCAGCTGTGTATATAACTTATTGGTAGTATTCATACCTTCCTTCACCTGAACTATCTAGTTGGTAATTTGCTTACCCCTAGCCCAAAATTTATTGTCCATACGTCTAATCTTCATAATAATTCTTCTGAAATAATGAGAATTGGAAGGAAAATTAAATTCCTACCTCATCTTTGATTGTAGCTATACTTTATGTATTTAAAACTTTGATTTCCAAGTGTGAAGGTTGGTGAACAGTTGTCTTTACATGAATGCTATGAATCTTGAGTTTGATTTCTGTTTCCAAATTGGAAACAGACATGGCATTGTTTGTGGCATACCACCCCTCCTGATTTCCTGTTACTACAAACTTGTTGGTAATCAGTTTGGTAGTTTTTATAATTGTGCTGGTTTCCAACTACACACAGATTCTGTAGCTGCTGAAGATACTCCCTCAGGTCTTTAAACCAAATTTACAAGAAATGCTTTCTCCATATTCTTTCACATTTGTTATTTTGCATTGTCTTCTTGGTACAAAATTTGGAGGGCACTCTCTCTTCTGAAACCATTCTGGTTACCCTGAAGAGATTTTCAGCCTTGTGTTATTAATGAATGTCAAGCAGACTTCCATCACTAGAGACTACGTAAGTCCACCCACAGGAAACAAGTCTTGGTAGTAGATAACTTTAATGTTTTGTATTAACCAACCTTTGGAGGGAGAATAAAGAAGTTACCAGTAGAATTAAAGGCAGAGATTGACATAGTCCAGACTGAAATACCTGTTCTGTCCCCAGATTTATTCCGTCTCAGAGAAGAATTTTAAAGAGAGTCATGGAAGTCACAGAGTTTCTCTTCTTAATTAAGGCCAGAGGACTTGGCAGTGCTTATTAAGGGAGCTGTGTTCTTGTCAAAATGAAAAATGTAACTACATAGAAAAATCACTTCAAGCTTCTTGCAGCATTTGTGATCAATAAAATTTCATGTTGCATGGTTTCCATATATTCTCTTCTCTCTTCTCTTCCCCTACATTCAAGGCTCTTGAGATCTGCCAGCAGAGGAACTTTGTAGAGGAGACAGTCTATCTTCTGAGTAAGTAACTCAGAATAAATAACTGTGATCAATTACAACACTTTTAAACTTGTAATAAAGTTTGTGGTATGAAGATATATTGTCTAATATCTAAACCAAATAACATGACTTAGAAAATAAAACAAAGCACTGGGTGGATATGATGTCTTAACTTCATATATTGTGTTACTATGTTTTTTACTTGGTGTTCTTCTGGGGTTCTGGAAGTGTTGCAGAGGTTATGGGGAGCAAGTTGGGTGGGAAGTTATTTCTGATACAATCTCCAAGAGAAGAGTAATACTGTTGGTTTTGAAAAGAGAGGATAAATTAAACAATTGTTTTATTCTAAATAAGTCTTAAAAGCTTGGTACTATTTTTTGCTGAGATGAAAGATTTGCTTATATTGCTTTCTATCATTTTTTTACATTAAGTTAGTTGTAAATTAACTCCTTCAGCTGGCCAAGAAATCTCCCTCTGAATGAGAGGCATTGGAACACTTATATGTATGTTTATGTATTAGTCATGAACAGAATAGTAAATATTTTTTTAAACAATCTCTGGTTCAGTAAGAAGAATATTTTGTGGACCATTTCAGTCCAGTGGAGAGTAAGATTTACTAATAAATTTATTTTGGAAGTAGTTCATAATTTCTGCTGCTTCTTCCTGTTTCCTCTTATTTTTCATGAGTGTAAGCTGTGCTGTATTTACTGCAAATTAAGAGGGCTCATGTGGGCCCTTGAAGCTGGTATTTCATGTTATAGTTTACATCTCTACACATACACACACTCCCCCTCATGTTAGATGTTGCTGCAGTTCAGAACCCCAAATAAGACCCAACACATCCTTGAGAAAGCCTCCAGGTCCCAGTCCAGCAAACTGCTCCAAGCACTTATTCATATTATACTGATTTGCATTCCTGCATCTGAATAGACTAGATTGGGTCTTAGTTGAATTAGTCTGAGTCAACTTCACAGTTAGAAAATTCTTATTGGAAGAGCACCGAACATGGTGAGCAATTATCATTTATAGTCTCTTATTTTTCCTTCCAGGCAGGATGGGTAATAGCCGCAGTGCCTTGAAGATGATAATGGAAGAATTGCAAGATGTAGATAAAGCTATTGAATTTGCCAAGGAACAGGATGATGGAGAACTTTGGGAAGATCTCATTTTATATTCTATTGACAAACCACGTAAGTGGGATAGTTTCTGGGAAGCTTGCATGTGTGTAATGCTTATGCAAATAAAGGATTAAATTGTTCACACGTATGTTAGAGAAGGTGTTTTTGTTTGGTCAGGGAAGTTTTCTAGTTTGTGAAGGACAACACAGCTGTCCTACTGTGCATAAAAACTTGCAGTAAGGCAGTGTGAGAGTATGCTACACAATGAATAAGCTCTGCATAATTATGTCCTTAATGAAAAATCAAGGGGACAGTAGTGCTTTTAGTTTAGCGGAATGAGACTTCATTTCTAGACAGCCTCAAAACACTGTCTGCAGGTTTGATGAGGATTTTGCATACTATTTTATTACAACTGCTTCCCTTCGAGATTCTGAAAATGAAAAGCCTACACCTTTCTTCCTTCAGTAAAACAACTAATTAATTTTTTTACTGTGTTACAAAGGTAAGATTGGTAATAATGGGTGCATTTTGCCTTTCATTCATTATATGAATAGCTACTCCAAGTTAAAAGGTTAAATGGACTCAGAAACATAAGCATCACTGTTGTCAAGGAGGCAGATTCAAAGTTCAAATGATTAAGAAAACAGAGAATTTTCTTAACTATCTACTCCACTGGTTTTTGCAGCCCCTTTTGGTGCTTTAAATCAAGACTGTAAAGTCTCTCTTGGAACTTCTTTTCTGGGGAATTGACAGTCTTGTAGAATTAGTGTCAGAATATGTATCTTTTCATCCCATGGATGCTAATTTTGAAAGGAAGAAGTGACCAGAATCTTTTAAACCTCAAGAAGAATGGCATTCTCAAATTACCCATACTTGAATGCATCACTAAAGTCAGTGACACCTTTAGAGCAAAAGAGATTCAAAACATACAGAATTCTCTCAGTAACTCTATATAACAGTTTCTGCCTGTGTGTAGAGCAGCTCTACTGATATTCCTCAGTTGTGGGGGTTGAAGGAAAAACACAGCCTTGAGTCATCATTCTAGTGGGTTTTTTACCCAGATGCTCTTCAAAGAGCAAAAGACTTCTATCATGTCGCTCTCATCAATGTTTAGAAACACATTGAAATCAGGTTAGGTGCTTGAAAGTTTGTTTTTATACCCTGGAACTGGGAATGGAATTACCACATAAAGTAGTTGTTAGTTAGTAGTTAAACACTATTTGTTTGAGTGCTCTTTTTATTGAATCAAAATGCATTATTTACCTGTGAGTTTGTGCTGGAGACTCAGTTACTACTTTGCTGAATACGCTGGAAGTTCTGTAAGTTGCCAGACTGTATCTTCCTCACTTTCCCAAAGGCTTGTGTTCAAGTAAATACAGCTGCAAGAAACATACAAAGACTGTAGAAGAGACTTAGTGTTTTCACTTATTAGAGAACTGTCAAGTAGCTTGTCACCATAGTATCTTTTAATCAGGTATTGTGCTGGATTGTTTTTCTTAATTTCTTTGCCTCTTGTTTTTCACAGCTTTTATTACTGGTTTGCTGAACAATATTGGAACCCATGTTGATCCTATTCTTTTGATCCACCGCATTAAGGAAGGCATGGAGATTCCTAATTTGAGAGACTCACTAGTGAAAATTCTTCAGGACTACAACTTGCAGGTAGATGTTGCATTCTTCATGGGATACTAATTTTCAGAGAGACAGCAAACCATCTTTGTCACTGAACAGCACAATAAATTGCTGTCAGGATTTATTCAGTCATTGGTCATGGACATAGTGGGCCCACACAAAACAATGACAGAAATAGTGGAAATTTGCTGAGATTTCTTGATGGCATCTGGCCCTTCTAAATGTCTACCATACTGTCAGAAGCCTGGTGGGTAAGTACAACTGGAAGCATCTTGAGTGATTCAGCCTATTTTACACTGCCCAGCTGTTTAGTATTGGAAAGTTTCATGACCAGTACTTCTTGTTCTGTTTCACATGAGTGCAGAAGCAGAATGGAGGCAGAATGCAACATGCCCTCACTGAAACATTCATGTTAGAGTCATATGTTAAGTGTCATACTAACTGAAGGAAAATGAACTTTTAAAATCAAATTCATGTCAGTGGTGCAGAATCAGTTGGTTGGAGCATGATTCTAATAATGCTGAGGTTGTAGGTTCAATTCCTGTATTATGGACCATTCACTTTAGAGTTAGACTCTAATGCTGCTTCCAACTCAGAATATTCTGTGCCTGTGTTGCTGTTTATGCATTTTTTAAAAACTGGACTGTTCACTGGATTATGGAAGTTCTTGCCCCAGAATAATTGATATGTGCAGTCCCCTGCATGATTGGTTCTAAGATATGTTTGTAAGAGCTTACAAGAAGCATATCTTTCAGTGTTCCCTGTAAGTAGCCAGCAGATTGTGTGGCACTGCATATTTAAATCTCTCTCCTACGAAAGCAGTCATGAACTTGAATTCTCTGTTATGCTGTTCTCCATTGCTCTACTGAAAAAATACAGATGCCTACAGTGTGACTGTGCAGAGTCCAAGAAAATGTAGCTCAGTAGGCTGCTGAAACTCTGATTTTCTGAGCCTCAAACATTTGTTCCCCGTCTGCTGTTAGTCTTTCAACATTTCAAGGAAACAGATGCACTCAATGGTTACATTAAGGTCATGGCTGGTATCTTGCTAGGCCATATCTCCCTTCAGGGCAGGGTTTAAGCCTTTCTAAGGCTTTTCCATTATTTTATTTTTATGTGAACTTCAGATTATGACTTTGGCTATTTCAAAGAAGCATTTTACATTTCTTCATCTCTCAACACTTGTAAATAGATACATGTTTGCATATAATGCATGTTTTAACATTACTTCAGGTTTTGACTTCATTGGGTGAAGTCCAAAGCTAGTATCCTTCCAAAATGGGGGATAGCTAAATACCATGCTGCATTTCAACAGTTACATGTTAATCTTGCTGCTGTCAGTACCACCATTGATCCTCCTATTCCTGGATTCTCATTAAATCAAAATGTGTTGTGTTTGCAGGCAAACTGAGAAAGTGCTGTGAGCATAGTTACAGCTTTACACATATACAGAGTACATTGCATGGCTTCAGACAAAGCTGATGACATCAGTATGGTCATATTTTGGGGATGAAAATACAATTTCCATCCCCAAAATATGTCAACAATTTTTTTCTTCAAATACCTTTTAACAGAATTACTTTTGGATTAAAAGCATGTATTTAATCTTGAGAATGATATCTAAAATAATTTACTGTTAGCATTGAAATGATTTATGGATTTCAAATTAATTGATTTTGAAGCAGAGTTGGATAGCTCTAGGGTTAAAATTTAGATTTCATAGGGATAATAGAAATTAGTGAATCTTAATGTAATTTGTGCTTGGCTTTCTTGTATGATAGAAAAAAGTATAGCCCAAAAAAAGGCAATATTTCATTAGAGATGTGTGAGTTATAGTTTAAAATAAGTCTGTTCCTTAAGTGTTACTGGCAACATGAAATGCACTGTTCATGAACAGATGGTATGTCTACATTGAAATTTAGAGATCTTATTGCTAGTCTTGCACACTCACCAAAGTAGCCACTTTTATAGAGGAACTCAAATTTTCAAGAGGGACTATTTTTGTTATTGCTGCCTCATTAGCTGTTTTAAAGCTAGTCTTAAGTGTGTTTGTGTGATGTCTGGTCATACCTCTGCACATGTTGTGTAGGTTCAGGCTGAGAAGTCACTGGCCTTTATTCTGGCCTGGCAGAACTCTGGCTTTTAGTAGAAATCACTTGATGTGTAGCATGGAGCATATACCAGACATTTTGAACTTACTCAGAAATACAAATTTCATTGGCTAGGATTTTCTATATCTTCATCTTTTTGAATCTCAAGCTCTGTATTCCTATGTTTTATTGCCCTCATTTTCAAAGGCAAAAAGAATCTTGTGCTAGGATCCATGAAGAAGGAGTGCAAGTGGAAAGAGAATCTGTTGCTTCACTTGCAAGTCACTGCCTAACACAAAAACTGTGCTGGTCTTTTCATAATGATGGCTTCCCAAAATATGTTACCACTGTGCCATTATGTTGTTTAGTTGTGGGCTCCTTTTGCAAGCCCTGATAAAATTTTTTTATGCCTATGTAAGCATGCAGATGCAAATTTCCTATTATGCTCTTGAATTTTCATACCAGTAAACTTTACTTAGGTGTGATGTCAAATACGGGTAGGAGTTAAAAGCAGTGCCTTTGACAGACTTTGTCCTTTTGAGAACAGTCCTTTCCATCCCAGCAAAACCAAATAAATCAAATTGAGTGGCTACCAAAGTATGTGTGACTCACAGTATGCATTAGAGAATCCAACAAGAAAGTCTACTAATGCAAATTTTGTTGTAATTTTTTTTTTAACATGGACTCTTCCTTGAATAGTTTTTTAATAATGTTGACAGATTGCAGACTGATGGCTCCACTTAAAAAAACTGCCATCCACTAGATGAAATGCTGCCACTGCTCTATATGTTACTCTGAGCTAACCTCAGCTTTGTGGTTAACCTTTGAAATCTGATCACTGACAACCAACCAAGCATAGCACTAAAGTAGAATGAGATATTGTTTTGGGCAAAAATAAAACACAGATCATGTACAATTTTTTTCTGCAATTCCGCCATGAGCTTAAAACTGAACACACCTCTAACTATACCCCTAAGCAGAGAAATATTTAAGTGGTTTTTAGAATTGGGATTAAACCTTGAAGTGATTTTTTGTTGGCTTTTTTTACCCATGAAGATAATTAATTTTGATATTTTATCTTTGACGTTGTTTGAGTTAATGTATTAAAACCATAGTACATAATCAAATGACCCTGATTGCAATGATGAAAGTTTATTTACTGCTGAAATGATGCTGATTTTAGTGTTTATATACAGTAACATTCACAAACGACAAAGTAATAGTTCTTTGAATTTTAATAGGATAATATTTTATCACATAAAGTGCAGTCTGAAGCTTTTTTACTGCTTCTGAAATCTACTTTTTTGCTGTCATAAATATATAGATAAATTAGACAGGTTGTCTTAAAGAGAAACCTACTTACTTATTAGAAATTAAACATTCCTAGTGCATTTTTTAAGTGCAAATGAATCACCATTCTCCAGGTTTCTAAAGCATTGGATCACATATCTCCCAGAGAAGGCTGATAATAAAATCTCCTTATTTGTAGACTTGTGAGTTAATTATAAGCCTGTTATGCTTTGCAAATTGATAAAATAGGTGTCTTTTCAGCTTTGGTTTGTATCTGAATGAAATGTAGGAACTGCTTATGGTATTGGAAGAATCTTGTTTTAGAAAGAACTGCTTCATTTTTCACCCTTTCTATGTCATTTGTTAAAATAAATCTTTGAAAGATGTTGGTTTTCTAAGACTCCTTTTCCCCTAGCTTTAAAATACAGAAGCAATTTGTTTAGATGTAATACTTTGAGATTTTGTGGATTAGCCATTTTACTCAAACATTGACTTACTAGTTTGCACTTTGATTGAACCTGCAGGAACTCTTGATGTGTAACAGACATTAATCCATTCACAGAATTCACATCTATCCATTCATAATAGAGTTTATGAACTAGAAGAACCTAATGACAATACAGTGAATCTTGCTTGGAACAGCACCTGAAAAAATTGTTAGGTTCTGAACTTGAACATAACTAAAAACGCTGTTCAGACACCTTGGGGGCACTAGAGGGCAGGTGGCAGCTTGCACAGGGGGACATGTGTGTAAAGCCTAAAAATAATGTGGTTTTAGTGTGGCAGTGATGCTATTTGAAAGAATTTAGTTAACTAGCCTTGAGAAACTTGGAATTCTTTGTGGGTTAAGCTGAATCAAGGCCTAAATTAATTCCCATAGTTTTGAGTATTTGCTTTAAAAATAACTCCATACTGCAGTGCTTTTCTTTTAAGATAACGTTAGGCTACAAATGTAAATCAAGACTGTTCCAATCAAATAGAATGGTTTATGCCTAATATCTTCCCCAATACAGCCAGAAAACAAACTTTTTTTCACAACAAGTTTTTATTTTAGCATTAATTTAATGAAAGGCATTATTTCTGCCTAAAACTTCTTTCTGTAGGTGCATCTGATACTGTCATGCTTGTGCTCACAATTACATGCTTTTAAAGGATAAATAAAATTAATTTTTATCCTCAATTCTGTTTCTTCTTGGAAAGTGGTTTCATCACAGATTTATGCCCAATGTCAGTTTTAGTTCAACTTAACCTTAGGGTGCACAGTTACCTGTTTCTCTCCCCTTTATTAAAGCTCCCTCTCTCTGGACTCAAATTCCCTTTCTTGTACTTTCTGTAACTCTCAAATTACCCATTTTTGAGGTCTTCATTAAATTTCTACAGAAGTGTTGGGAATTTATTACCTTGAGAATAGATACTTTGCATTCTGCATTGCAATTTTTCCTTTTATATAATAATGGCTGCCTACTGTATTACATTTCTAGCAAGATAAGGTCTGTCAGTCATTAAATGTGGTATGGAAAGATCTTAGTACTGTTTAAATAATGGGAGAAAGTGCATATTTCTTAAAATATACATTTTATCAGATATTTCTGTTACTCTTGGGTTTTAAGGCATCAAACATTATTGAGGTTTTCCAATGAGCTAGTGATGTCTGTTGTTTCCCTCTTCATTGTTCTTTCTTTTCAATGAATTTTTTCTATTAGCACACTATATTTAATTAAGAAATGCTAGGACACACTTCCATCTTCCATTCTTTCTTTGTTCTGCTTCTTTCATTTAACATGGTCACAGCACCAAGGTTATCAGAGTTCAAGAAACATTTTGGACAATGTTCAGAGGCACTTGGTGTGATTCTTGGTGTTGTCCTCTGCAGGGCCAGGAGTTGGACTTGACACAGTCCCATTCAGTTGTCCTTGCTAAAAGTTTCTTGTATTTTTTTCAAGCCTAGCAACGTCTTTCTTTATTTAGAACAAAATTTTACATTCTTTGTTGCCTTTGGATAAAGTGGGCAAGGGAAAGACATAGCCAGAATGTTCCTGAGATTATCAACAGATAAAAATTATTCATTTTCTAAGTGTTTGCCTTGTAGATCTGCATTTACTTGCTGGTGCTCTGAGATGTTGTATAGCTCAATGTCTCCAATAATGGAGAAGTCTCATTCACCCACTGATATGCCCAATTTGAAATGCTCACAGTGTTAGTGTTAATTTTTTTTTTTAATGTACTTCGGATTTGCAGTCTAATCTGCGTATCATTCTTAGCAGTGTGTCCTTATTTCTTCAGAATGTGTATGTGAAAAGGTAGAGTTTTTGACAGTGTCCACCTGGCTGTAAAATCTATTATTGCATTTCCTCTTAGGTATTTGCATTAGCTGTATTTTGCTCTGTGTTAGAATGCTCGGTATCTCCAGTAATATGAATGAGCTGAAGAAAGGAATGAACATTGCTTCTTTATACCTCTCTTTTAGTAGGGTTGATCACATTATAATTGACTGTGATTATCTTCGTGAAGCAGTTTTCAAAGGAATTGTTGTCTTGGAAAACAAATTTCCAAACATCAGTTTGGGAGGAGGAAGAAAAAAGTCCAAAATACTTACTAGGATTTGTTGTCTTTCCATACTTGCTCCATTAAGTATTGTGCAAAAAAGATTCCATATAATTGTTATGCCCTTGCTTCTTCTGTGTTTCAAAACCATTTCAGGCAATGACAGGTCAATCTAATGAAAAATACCAAATAAGTCAAAAGGGAGCTGAGACTTTTGCTGAAGAGGAATGAACTAGGGACCTTTGGTCAGTTGCATAGACATTTAATACTGCTTATTAAATGACTCCTCAGCAGGATATATGTTTGAACAAAATGTATTTTGAATTGCAGTGTTTATGAAGATCTTATGATTATCAAATATCTTTTCTGAAGAAGACAGAAAAGATACAGGAAGAAGAATTTTGAAATGATCTGGAAATTAATTCTGAGGGGCAGTGTAAAAATTCCTCTCTGTTTTTATTTTGTCAACACCATCTCATAGAAAGATGTTCATAATTATAATAATAGTATCTTTGTAAAGAATTCTATTTTTTGATGTTTGTTTTTGTTGTGTAGGGTTTTGGGGTTTTTTTGTGGGCTTTTCATTTAGGTAGAGGTGATAGCAACAAAAGGTTCCTCCTTTGCCTCCTTTATAATACCTTGAAAAGTTTTAAACATTCCTTGCACTCACTTTGGCAGCAAAAACAGAGTGGTGACTTGTCAAGATAGTTGATATACCCATCTGTTCAACAACCAGTCTTTTATGTTCTTTGCACCAACAGATCTTGCTGCGGGAAGGATGCAAAAAGATACTTGTTGCTGATTCTCTTTCTTTATTGAAGAAAATGCATCGAACTCAGATGAAGGGTGTTCTAGTGGATGGTGGGTACAGAGGAAACATGATGACTTTCAATATTTTAAAGACTATTTTATATAGACTGTTTATATACCTCCTGACTGTCTGCTTTGGAAGCTGTCCAAAAGCCTGCAATTTTTCCCTTATCTGTAGAGTGTAGGAGGATAGTAGATGCTTTTCCCCTTTGCAGAGGAATTACTTGTGTCTCAAAAACTACAAGACCCAGCATGCAGCTGTTTCTCTTGATCAGTCTCTGCCTAGCCAGTGTATTGTGTCCTGCATTTCCTCTGTAAAGGTGAAAATTATGGTTAGTACCAACATGGACAATCAGATGGTAATAATCTGCAACCAAAGCAAAAGATACAAGATGATTGCCAGAAAATATTGAAAATATTTTGCAAGGTGCTAATGATGCGTGTGTACAGCGCTGTAATTCACACCGGCTGAGTGTTAATCGCCAGAGACAGAAGCTGACAGGACAGAGTACCAGAGCTTCTGCTCCAAAATGCTGCAGAGTTAGCAGCCACCCATCCCATGCTCCTTGTTTCAGTTTGCCTTTCATCTCTTCAGCACTGATCCTAAACAGCCTCAATCCTGCAGTTCTACCATCATCAAATCTAAATATTTATCATGTTGTTATTAGAAATGTTACTTCAGTATTGCTCTTCAATTTTTAATAGATTGTTAGGCATCTTAAGTAAATGCTCCATTTCTGTAAGAGCAGTATGTTCATGCCTGCTTTATAAAAAGTAAACATGGAAGTTTTTAACAAAGCCTAATTTTCTTTTGTTTTGTTTTTCAGAGGAGAATATCTGTGAATCATGTCTGTCTCCAATACTTCCTTCAGGTAGGATGCTTTTCGAGGAAAAAAAAAAAAGAGGTTGTAAAAGTTTTTTTTGGTAAATTTTTTTAGTAGTATTTTAAGAGAAATTATTCATAAAAATGTGTAATCTCCTTTCGTGATCACTGTATAAATTTCAATCTCCTATACAAAGCTTGCTTTTGAATTCTGGCATGGGAGTGGAGTCTAATTGAACATTTTTTGTTGCAGTAAACCCAGATATTCTTTTTTATTCAACTTTGTCTTCCTTATTTTCTGTTTTGATTACATGGAATTCAAGGCAACTTTTATTTCCATCAGCATACGTCTTCTCAAAGATTATTAGAACCACAAACCTAAGCCACCAAATCTTGTCCACATCTGTTTGCTTATTCACACTGAACTTGTAGACTAAAAATTTTTTGCATGTATTTTTTGTCTGAATGGTGGTGAGTTCTTGGCTTCAGTCATGGTGCCACATTTGCAACGTCTTAAAACCAACTAGCTTTAGACCAAAGTTGGTTTAGCTTAAAACCAACTACTTTCTAAAGTTAGATGTGAAAATAGAAATTCAGGACGTTATTTCAGAGATGTTCATTCCTCAAGTCCAGAAATATCAATGTAGTTGTTGGGTGTCTTAAAAAGAAGTGGTTTTACCAAGAGAATATCTGTTGTGGACTGTTAAAGCAAGAATATATAAGACAAAGCATATGTACAGACATTTGTTTGTTTTCTAGGGGTTAACAGACAGATAGAATCACTTACAGTTAATCTGGTTTCTACCATTTTCCACTTAAATAAATAAATAAAAACATCTATACTGGGATCATATATACAGACAAGGAGACTGGCAGAATTGAATGTGCGAGCGCTTTGAAGTATGTGTGTTGAGGTGAAAAGAGCCAAAGTAGAATGCAAATGATGCTTGTGAGTGAGATGGTTATTCTTTAGATATGTGGGTGTTTTGTTAAGCGTTCTAATTTGGCTAAATATTCATTTGAGAATGAAAGCTCACATCTTGCACTTAGGCAGCTTGTTGCCAAATTTCAGGATCATAGCATGCAGTGCAGGCTCTAGAACTGCTCAGTGTTCTCGTTCTCTTCACATGAGTGCAAGAATTTTTCTGCTATCTTTTCTTCAAAGCAGCTGCATTATTTGGTGGTAGTTTACTCTTCTCCCTGCCCAAATTTAGCATGTAGCATATATTGAGATGAAAAATTCCTGATAGGGAGGTATACAGTATCTAAGCCACAGAAAAAAATGTTTTGTAACTCCATCACTGGCTCACGTTTCCTGAAACAATCACTCTTAATGGTTTCTACGAATGAGTCAGAATAATTTTGAAATTATTTTGAGAGATGTTACTTGAAGTTTTTCTGTGTATGACAGAATGTGGGCATATATTGCTGTAGCCACTAAATCATTTGTTTCATAGCTCTGTTGAAATTAATTTATTTTTCTGTTTCCCAGATGCATCCAAGGCCTTCAGTGTGGTAGTGTTCCACTGCAGACACATGTTTCACAGAGAGTGCCTGCCTGTATCTAACACAGTAAGGAATTAGCTTAATATGTCTGACACCTTTGCCAAAGATAAAGTGACACATTTTCTTTTCTCAGCTGTGGAGAAGGGCATGGGTCTATGAGGAATTGTATTATTATAGGCATAACTTCTGATGATACCACATAGTAGTAGTATGTGACCGAGAAAAGGGAGTTTAAGGATATTGCAACTAAAGTTCATCCCATGTAGAAAGAAATCACTACTGTTTGAACAGTATTTTATCACTTTCTGCCATCAGAATATATAATGCAACTCTAAGACATACAGGGAATACAGTCTCTCTAATTTTTTAATTATTTTCCATTCCAGCTTTTACTTTAACTAAACATACTCAAATATGAGAATAAAGGTATTTTCTCAAGTGAGCCGTATTAAATGATTCTGACCTGGAAGACAAAAATCAGTCATTTCAGAGTGAATATTTAAATATCTTTGTAATCATCCTTACGGTCAAAACAGTTTTTTCTTTCTAAGTTATTTGGGGGGGTTAGTTTGTTTCTTGAATTAACACAAAGCAAAAAATAACTTCTAGATATAACAGGGTTTAAATATAGGAATGAAAGCATTCAAATGGTAACAAAATCACATAGAAAATGAAATGTAAGTCTTTAAGATTCTGTATCTATCTCTGAACATTAACATGTAGTGAAAAAATAGCTTTAGTGAATCACTTCATCTGTAAGTAAACAAAGTGCTTGTAGCCATATGGTACAGCATAGATACTTAAATATGTTAGGAAAACCTGAATATATTAAATCATTTGTACAAGAAAGTCCAACAACTAGTAGATATTTCTTCAATATTTACCACAAATTTTATTGTGAGAAATAATCTAAAATTTGTCTAGCATTCTCAATTTTCTGGGGCAAGTGACTGATTAGATGAGATTTTTAAATGTTACGTAGATATTATATGATGTCTATTCATAGACAGTATGTGTGAATAGAGGGGTGTGTACATGTAACAGAGCCAAATTTCCCCTGTTACATTGTAGTATGTGGCCTTAGGTGATCCATCATGGTACTGAAATGTAGATAGTGCCTGCACAAAATGCGCACAGGGCTAAACACAGAGTAACAGTAAACACATCTTTGATGTCAGATGACAGTATCTGGGCCCTGATCTCAGTTGTTGGAAATCTGTGGAGCACTACCCAAAGACAGAGCTGTGACTAAGGCATCCAGTGGTTATTGGAGCTCACCAAGTGACTTAAATCTCATCTTTATTTATGAATATAATCAGTGATACTTTTCTTTTTTGATGTGGAGAAAGTTTGACAGTACTCTTCTGGCAGGTGGTGGTAATACCCTTGGAGAGAGTGGTGAGTTGTGCTGCCCTCTGACTCCAGAACAGCCTGTTTACTATATTTTTCTATATTGTCTTCCCTCACTATCCATGACTGTGTTGATTGGGAACAGTCTGACTGTGAGCAGTAATGTTGAGAAGGGCATTAGCACTTTTCATTCATCTTCACACATTCTGATGTGGCTACATTTCTCTGAGAGATTCCTGTTTTCTTTTTTGATTTAGGTATCTTCTGTCCAGTTCTGCAATATATGCAGTGCCAAACACAGGGGGCCAGGAAGTGCAGTCCTGGAGATGAAGAAATAGCAGTGGCCTAGTTCTCCATGTCAGTCAGTGACACCAAATCTGTTAGGACCATAAGAGCCACTGTAATTTTCCATTTCTGTATATAATTTTGATTGTGATTCAAAAGTGGTTCCTGTAGTTTATCCTGTTTATTGAATATTTTGGGTAATGACAAAAATGTGAAAATCTTTTGTCTGGTAAGTCTTTGTTATGCAATTCATATGTCATGGTTCCTTTGCTCAGCTAGTTAACTTCATTCTGGAACAGAAAATAAAAATAAAGCGTGAAACAAAAAACCCATGCGATTTAGAGATTTGTGTTTGCTATCAGTTAATGTGCATTCAGTTTGAAGCCACATCAGGCTTATGGTTGGATATTGTAAAGAAAAATGTAATGCCATGAACTCAGTTCACCAGACTACTTCAATCCTGATTTAGTCTATTTACCTTGAGAGAACTTGAAGTTGTGTGCCAACTCATACCTTCAGTTAACAAATTTGTTAACTGTGAATTCCATACGTTGGCAATTTGCCCTTGTTACACTTTCATAGTTCATTAGAAACTGGTTAACTTCTCAATTAATCTTCACAATGTAGTAGTTTAAAGTGGGTTTTTCTCATGTTCAACTCATCCAGAAACTTTATTTTTAAAGTCAGCAGTAGGTCTCTATGCTTATTTTATGTGTGGTTGAAGTGCATGGTTTCATTTAAGTGCAAGAGAAAAAAATGTATCTGACTTTTCAAAGGTAAGATCTCTAGAAGTGTCTTCTGGCGTTAGCAATTTAACAAGTTAAATAAGTCAACTGGATGTTAACAAAATTATATTTTTCATTTGAACTGCATTCTGTTTTGTTGATCCAAAGGAAGTGATCTTTGAGAATGTCTTCACAGTAATGTAATCTGTTTATAATTTATGCTGACTAAATTCAAAATAAGCATCTTTTCCTTAAGAAAAGTAATCAGAACTCCCAAGTTATTTTTCTGGGTTTTAATAACTTGAGTTTGAAAGTAAAAATATATTTTTTTGCCATCAAATTAACTGTTAACTGTTAACTGTTTGAACAAGTTAACGTGGTAACATCCTAAGTTCTAAATCAACAGTATATACTGCAGTCTATCTGCAAAACTGGAAAATATGGTACCTCTAATACAACATCTTCTTCTATACCTTATTCCCATGTAAATACACCTTAAAATAATTTCTACTGTGGAAACTTGGATTTCTAGTTTACGTATATTCATAATTATCTTTTAAAATCCTCTGGGGAATTGGTATAGCAATCTGAAGAATGATTTTGTGTTGTCCACTGTGCAGCTCTGTATAATACTGGAATAAAAATTTATGGGTTTAGAAATGCTAGGATTTACTCTGCATGATTACATAGGCAAAACAATCACTAAAAGAATAGATCTTCTCAAAAGCATACTAATCTTTTAGGTTAACACAGGCAGTTGAGGGAAAAATAAAAAAAAAGTTGCAAATTATTAATGAACATAGATTGAGTGGAATAACAGAAGGGTAGGAGGTTTATAGTGTAGGGAATTGTCTGCATACATCAAGCTTCACCCATAAGAATTTGTGCCTGGCTTTGCAGCTGTTTGTTTTCAGCAGCTAGTACGTATCCTCAGGTATATTGTTCCTTTATCCATTCTTCACTATGCTGATCAGGAAAGCTGCTTTGATTCCTAGTAAATGAAATGTTCCAGTGACCTCGAGACTTGTTTCACCATGATGCTTGAGTTAATGCATGCCATGCATGTAAAAGTTAAAAAAATTTTTAAACCCCTCTTCTTCAGTAGCTTTAAAGAGTTTTTCTGTGTTCTATCTTAAGAATGCAATAAGCTGTCAGCTTACAGGAGGAAAAAGTTAACCTACTTCCATAGCTGTATATGGAAAAGTGTCCTGTAGATTAGAGTTACACGATAATTTCAAAAGTGTATATTTTTTTACTTCAGCTTGGCCTTAAATTCACTAAAGCATTTGATCATTCTGTGACTCAGTTTGCTAGTCTGCCATCATCAGCAATCATACTGCATTATAGCCTGGCATATTCTTTGCATTATGCAAGTAATTTTAAATCACTGTATGAAAATCTAATCAAAATCTTCACTAAATCCAAAGCTTCTTTCATTTGGGCTTCAGGGACTACCCTTTTCATGTTTCTCAAGTCTAAATTTGCTCATTAAGATTCAGCAGGATATGTGCAGACTTGACTTTGATACACCCTTCTTCCTAAGAAGCCTTTGCATCATAGAAAACATCTGATATTAGAGTCTAAAATATTCAGCTACCCAAGAGCTTTTCTTCTGAAGAAGAACTTTGCCTAAGAATTAACTGTAAAGTTGCAGAACATATCAGAAAAGTACAGAGTAGCACTTAATGAGTTTCAACTGCACTTTCTTCAGATGCCAAAGCTCTTGTGCTTCTAAGGTAAACTTCAAATAAACTTAAAAGCTATTTTTTCTCTGATACATCCATTTCTGTGTGAGTTCTTGACCAATAAAGGTAACTGAAACTATTTGTGGTGGATCAAGTAAGTATAAATTGGTTTATCGTATCAAAAGAGAGAAAACTATTTTGGCTTGTAAGCAGGACATCTCACCTTCCCCCATAAGAAATTATGTTGTTAACCAATCAGATAACTTAAACAGGACAAGCTGTCTTGTAGAGAGTTATTTTTATGCCTTGGGGTTTATACTGGTCTCCCAACCAGCAAAAACCATCTTGCTGTTGAAGTGAGATCTGACAAAATAGGTTGGATTTCTGACTGACAGACACTCACTTTACAAACTATAAAAGCCATGCTAAACTTTCACAGAGCAGAAATCTTCTATACATTTTCCTGGAAATGTATGGAGCTTTCCCCATGAGTAGGGATGCCTGCTTTGCAGTTATTTTCCAGGGGTTAAGTGAAGTAATCTGTGTACATTACTGTCATTTTGGCTGTAAGTTACATTTGACTCCTAATCAATACTATTTCTTTTGGTAGCTTTACTACAGCTACCTTGATATAGTTCAGCATTATGTGTTATGCTCTAATCTAGTAGTTCTTAACCTGTATACTTCGTAGTAAGCAATCCTGATCAAGATTTTTATGTGTTATTTCATGTCTGTTTAATAAATAGTTCATTTTATAAATAGACCTTGATCTGCCATCCTTAGAACTTGCCAAAGTGATTTCTTTAATTTAAACTGTTGTCAAAATCTGAGACTAAGGCAGAGTTTGTTTAAAGCTCCCACTCATCCTGTGACAGGCTAAAGTGAGTCTTCAGATGATTTTTCACATCTGTCCTTTTATTACTTTAAACCTCCAGTGCTGTGTGATAGGCTTGGTGAAAATGTTGGGCTACACTGAAGATTTTGGGGGGCCCAAGAGAGTGGGGAGCTGGAGGTGCCTACTCAGCATGAGGCTATTTAGTCCTGCTGAGAACCCAGTTAAAGTGGACAGCATCATGATAAAGGTTGACTTCTGCAAAAGGAGGAGTTTTGCAGAAGTCAGGCCTTGGATCAGCAATGTATTGAATCAACTGTGTATGACAGTTGGGCAAGAGTCTGCTGCCCACCATGACATGATTCAGTGGTTCAGTTATTGCTTCAAGAAGTTGTTCTTTAGACAGAGGTATGTTTTCTAAAGCTGCTCTACAGGACGCCTTGAATACATTGGGTATTGTGTGTTGGAACATGAGGAAGTTCAGTTCCTGACACTGATCTTGTGCTACACAGCAAGGGCAAAGACAAAATGAGTTGCTTCCCCATTTTTGGATGTATGTCATACTCCGTATGGTATCATATTCCATACATTTTGGCTGATAATTGGGTGGAGGTTGTCAGTATTCTGTATAGAATGCACAGGTTGGTCTAGCAAATTTTCATCATAGAAAATTTATTCACTTTCCATCTTAGGCTTAATGTTTATTCAGCTGGAGTCTTTTAAGCAGGCACTGTTCTTTTTTTTGCCATTGAGTAGTCTACCACAGTGGTTCAGTGGTTTTCTGCTTGCTGTGTAGAGTTCCTGACTGTAATTCAAGGGAGCTGGAATTGCAAATAATCTCTTGAATAAAAACGTCACAGTGGATTTCCTGCTTCTGAAATGATGTGATTTAGCATTCAAATACTGTATGTCTGCAGTCACCTTGGAAAAACAGTGCCATCTCTGCAGGTTGGTTGCACTAGTCCTTGCCTATGCTTTGGAAAACTACTTGCAGAAAACTTCTTCCCTAATGCTGAACAAGGGTGATTATCTGAATGAAGAAAAATCTCTCTGAGAAGCTAGTTTCCCGTCTCCTGTTGTACAGTTTTGGCCTCTTATTCAGGCAGTATAACTTTTACCCCTGTTTGTAAATGCTAGGCATAACATTAGGGTTTCTTCCTCTCTGGAAAGCTTCCCTCTCAAAGATTGTATCTTTGCTAAATACTTGCTGTAAATCAACTGCTGTACTTTCAAAATAACTTAAACAAGGTTAGTAAGAAAATAAGTACCTTATGTAGAGAATGATGCTTTAATTATATACTTTTTATTCTACTGTGCCATGAAAGATTAATTTGCCTTTGGAATTAAAAATATCCATAGATTATGTTTTTTTCTGTTCTTCAAGACAATGTGTGCTTTCTTTTACTGTAATCAAATATTAAATTATGCAGAAAACGGGACATCTGAAGTTTCTGAGGCATCAAATGTAGAAGAGAATAGAGTGTGTGAGAAGTTCTAAGAGAAGTTAATGAGTCATAGTGGGAATGACCTAAATTTAGCCTTTAAAGCCTTCCATAAATGGGGATCATAATAAGTTTTTGCAGTAGAGCAGGTCTTAGGCATTATGGTGAGTTCTGACTGTGACATTCACCTGGGAGTCTCTAATGTGAATGGACAAGGCCGCCAGTGCCATCTGCTCCTGGATTGTGCTTAGGACCAGTCATGGTGCAGGAGTCAGAAATGTGCTGAGTGGAGGCTGATACCCCTTCAGCCTGAAGGAGCTGCCAGAGGTGGAGGTGTAGGAGTATAGTTAAGGGCTAGGAAGTGGCAGGAGCTGCAGAGGGCACTTGAATTGTTGGTAGGATTTTCCTGCCCGTGCTTTTAGTCAGATCCCAGTAGAATTTAAATCCAGTTAGATTTATAAGGTAATGATATCTTGGTGTCTGATAGCCATAAAATCACACTTAGCAAGATGTCCACTGGATGACGTTCCAAATAGTATTCACACAGGATACAGATTTATCTGTTTCTGGTGAGAACGATGGATGGGAGCCACAATAGATAAGTTGAGAATTTTTTAAAAATAATTTTAATTGAAATGTTCTTTAAAATGAGTCATTGTCTCACATTTTATTGTGTTGTGCTTGCAATGAAGTAGTAGCATGGGAGGGTGCAGAGGACGGCAGTGTTTTTATTGTGTAGGACCCATTCAGTAGCAGCCATTTTTGCATGTGCTGGCACAAGAAACACTGAACCACTTTTTGGTGTGTCTAACTCTAGTGTGTCTCTATTGAGAGTTCATCTGGAATTTTTTCAAAGTCATGAAGATCTTTAGTTAAGCAAAGCCAAAACTGGGAAGCATTTTCCGTGTGTTTCCTTGAACATTTCAGCCAAAAATATATTTCTGGCATAACTTAGTTCTATGCTGTGCAGACTTTCATTTTCTTTGCAGTATCAAAGACTTTCCAGTGATGGGCTAAGAGAAGTATGTTCCATTTACATTCTTTCATAATTATTCTTTCTCTCTTTTCTCCTTCTCTACACCGCTTACCACTCCTCTCTGAATATTGGAGTGGGTGCCTATTTCTGAATTGTGTAGTGATCTTCAGTCATTATCTGCAAACATGCTGTGCTGTGTGTTAAAGTATGTGCTTTGTATATCCTGTGGAAGCTACCCTGTTCATCCTTAGTTCCTGGGGGATTTCATTACCTGGTGTCAAGCTAAGGAAAACACTTTCCTTCAAAGGCAAACTTTCCAGGACAACATTTTCAGTGGTGCAAAGAGAATCACTGAGATAGGAAGGGACCTTTCAGATCATCTAATCCAATTGCCCTGCTCCAGCACTGGTTGCTCCATCACCTTCCCAGGGATTGATTGAGTCTAACAACCCTGTGGTTTTCCTGATCCTACTTCTTGCTCTCTAAAATTAATTATATGGTTAAAATGAGAACTAGAACTTTGAAGAGTAAGATTTACTTTTTTCCACTCTTCAGAAACCTCTTCTGATTGACATGGTCTTTCAAAGATAATCAAAAACATCTTTTTCATGCTGTAGGCTTTGTGCCTAGGTGTTTCATAGTGTTGCAGTCACACCAGAAATGAAGCCAGTATAAGCTACTGTTGGGCTAAATCATGTTCCCCAGCCAAAGCGGAGATACTCCTAAATTCTTGGCTTGGGCAGAAGCGTTATTCACAGAAGCACCACTGAATTCCTTAGCAGTGGTAAAAATGCAGTGGCCACTGCCGTCTTGGTCCAAGAGCGCCACATAGCCGGGACCACGAGGCGGAGATCGGAGCGGCGGGCAGCAACACGCAGCTGCAGCTATTTCGGCATGGCTCGCAATGATCTTTTTTCCCTTAGCCACTTTTAGCCAGCCATACTGTGAACAGAAGGGTAAATGTGGCAGCAGCAGCAGCTTTTCCATTTTGGCACTCCACATGGAGAGGTGCTGAGTGGAGCTGGTGGCCAGCACAGCCCGCTTGGTACCAGCAGGGTACCAAGCAGTGAGAGACATGGCAAGCAATTCCCTGGACAGGATCAATCTTTCAGTGTTGCAGAACTCTATAACATCTTTTCAATTAATAGAACTTGGGAACAAATGAACCTATGTACACCAGTTGTCTCCCGAGTCAGAGAAAAGTGAAGACACGTGAGGAGAGTTGTATGGCAACACTAAGGTCAGTGCAAAAGGAGGGAAAGGGACTAGGAAGTGCTCTGAGTGTCGGAGCTGAGATTCTTACTGTGATAGATGAGTAATGCGATGATTGACTCTCATAATTACCAACAAATAGCATGTGTATAGGTTAAGAAAATCTTTATAGATTTATAGTTATGTTTTACCCCCTTGCATTGTTTCAAGAGACAGCTGAGGTTGGGACATCTGGGAGGGTTGGCTTGTCAGTATGGCAACACCTGACCTCCAATTTGAGGAAGAGATCTCCACCACTGGACAGTGAAGAAGGGTCAATGGATAGAACTTTGGGAGGGGTTAAGGGGTTAAAGGGTTAAAAGGTGAAACCTCCATTATGTGGGTGAGCACATGGTGGGGAAAATCCTTTGCTTCCGCACAATAACATTTTCTCTATTCAGTCTTCTGTTGTATTTTGGATAAGGTTTAATAAACCATTCTAAAATTATGAAAAGTGAGTAGCCATTTATCACAATTTTGGGGTGCTCATCCTGGATAAACATCTTACCCCAGTGGTGCTAGGAGTTTTCTAAAAGTGGCACACCCATGCCACAAATTTGGCGGACTCTACTGGACAATCTCAGGACCACCGGTGGTTGCAGGCTGAAGCCCAGAGACAACAGGAGGCTGGATAAAGAGATGAAGAGGGGTGAGTACTATTTTTTGGCCAGACAACTACTCCATACTTCCAGTATAGGAAAGTGAACTCCACGCCAGTACTATACTAGACCTGTCCTGGTCCATTGGAGTTTTAGGATATTGGGTGGTTGGAGGGAAGGGCAGGATATGTGGTGAGAAGGAAAGCAGGGATTTTCCCCCATGGCCGGCGGGACACGTGAGGTAGAAGGGTTTGTGAAGGGTTTTGTAGCACTGAGCCAGCGGTGGTTTTGGGGGTGGTGTGGCCAGCACTGTAGTACTCCGGGCTGGCTGAGTGGCAGTATCCAGCGGCTGTTTCGGGGGAAGCACTGGCGGGCCGGGCACTGGTGGCACCAGCGGTGGCTGAGCTCAGGCAGGGACAGCTCTTGTGCACAACCAGCTCCATGGATCCCGGAGCCAGCCAAGACTGGGCTAGAAACGGGACAACCACTGAGAGGTTTGCTGCAGTGGGGTTACCCCATAGTAGGTGTAGCACTTCATGTGCCACAGCGAGTTGGGACAGAGCGAGCCAAGCTGGAGCGGGGCGGGGATGGAATCAGATGAGAGGTAAAGCTTTTTTTCTAGTTTTTTATCTCTCTTCCCCTTTTTTTCTCCCTTTTTCCTCTCTCTCTGTCTCTCTCTCTCTCTGTCTTCCCTTTTCTTCTCCTTCCTCCTTTCCTGGTTTCTTTTTTGCCCCTTTCCCTCACCCTTCTTGGGGAGGCGGGCCTTGCTGAGAGAGTGTGTAGTTGGCTGACTGGGAAGGTGAGCTCTATCAGAAGGGCCTGTGGTTGCAAAGGTGGGCTCTGTCAGAGGAAGACCTGGTCAAGATGGGATCATGGGTGAGTAGCGGATCCCCAGAGGAAGAAGCAGAAATTGAAGAGGAACCAATGGGCATCCCTCCAGATAGTCCACTGGGAAGGAAGCTAGCCCGGTGGAAATATGACTCCAACACCAGAGATAAGGATGAAAGCAAAATGGTTCAGTACTGTGTGTTGGAATGGACCAGAAAGGAATTTAGGAATATTCATGTATACTGGCCGAGATATGGGTCAGAAGAGGAATAGATATGCCAATCATTAAACATGTACGTAAGAGCTAAGAAACCATTCAATCAGGAAGAGAGTGACTATGCTGCTTGCTGAGAAGGTGAGCGTGTTTAAGGTAGCGGAACATACAGAGTGGGACCTGTTAGACCTCTTACCCCTGCCACATCCAGCAGCTCCAACTGCACCTCCCCTGCCCCCTGATAGGCCTAGCCAGGAGCAGGGTAGCACAGAGAGAGGAAATCAGATCAGAGGATGGGAGCCAAGCACTGGGACTGTACCCCCTGAGGAAAGTACCTCTGTAACCGTACCTCTTAGTTCCTCTGACGTGAGAATGTTTAAAAAGGAATTAAAAAGGACTATTAGAAGATCCCATCAGATTAGCAGAGCAGTGAGACCACTTTTTGGGGCCCAATATTTACACATGGGAGGAAATGCAATCAATGATGACCATGTTGTTCCCACCAGAGGACAGACAAATGATCCAGGCAGCTGGGATATGGGAAAGGGAGCATGTGCAAGGACCTCCTGGGGATCTGAAAATGCCCACAGTGTGCCCCACCTGGGACCGCAACAGCACTGGGGGCAGGCAAGACATGGAGGAATATAGAACAAGGATTATAAGAGGTATCAAAGAGGCAGCTCCACGTAATCTAAATGCCTGTAAGGCTTTCGATGAGCAGCAAAAGAGAGAAGAAACCCCAACAGAGTGGTTACAAAGGTTGAGGAAAAACATGAGGCAGTATTCAGGAGTTGACCCTGACACAGTGACCAGACAGACCTTACTAAAGATAAATTTTGTCACTCACAACTGGCCAGATATACGGAGAAAGTTGGAAAAGTTAGATGGTTGGCAAGAAAGGAGGTTAGGGGATCTTTTAAGGGAAGCACAGAAGGTGTATGTAAAGAGAGACAAAGAGAAGCCAAGGCAAAAGCCAAGTAATGGTAACTGCCATTAGGGAAGGAAATCAGCACATAAAGAACTACCCAGGTAAGGGAGGGAGATTCCGAGTCT